CTAATCCGGCTCTTAGAAAGTCTATAAAGTTTTTCTATACTCTTTATATCTAAATCTAGAGATAAATAGTAAATATATATCGACTATCGTCTTCTTAATAATATTATCGTTAAGAATATCTACTCTTTACTCTAAATCTAGAACTATCTTAATACTATCGAAGCCGCTTAGTAGCTCTTAAAGACTAATCTTACCTAAGAATACTACTAGATTTAGATAGAAAAGATATTTATCGAAAAGACCGCCTTTAATACGCGATTCGATAAGTATAAGTTCTTAGCTATATCGTTTAGATTTACTAATATCTCTTCGATATTTTAGAGAATTTTAAACGATACTCTATAAGAATTTATTAGTAAATTTATAATTATCTACTTAGACGATATTATTATCTATTTATAGATCGAAGAAGAATACGAACGCTATCTCGAATAGATATTTAAGATACTATACGATTATAAACTATATACGAAGTCGTTAAAGTATATTATTAGTATCTAATAGCTTAAATTCTACGAATATATAGTAAGTAACGGAGAGTACTAATCTATATCTACGAAGATATAAGCTATTCTTAAATAGCCTTAGTCTCGAAATATATATAAAGTATATTAGTTTTTAGATTTAGCTTTCTACTATCGAAGATTTATCTAAAACTTTATAAAGATTACTATATCTCTATTTAATTTATTAATTAAGACGGATATTAAGCTTCGAAAAAAGAAGTTCCGATCTATTCGATAGAACGCGAGATATAAGTACGTCTTTTAAGTACTTAAAAAGACTCTCGCTACTAAACTAGTTTTATAATAAGTCGATAAATCGAAGTCTTTTCGTATAGAAATAGACTACTTCGAGTAGACTTTAGATTATATTCTTCTATAAGAAGAATCTAATAGAAAATAGTATCTAGTTATCTATAACGGGCGGAAACTTAATAGGGCTGAGCTAAACTATTCTATATATAAAAAGGAGCTTTTCGCTATTAAGTACGCTCTTTAAATCTAGATTATATATCTCTAGAATAACTATAAGATAATCGTTATAACTAATTATAAGAGTTTAAAATATCTAAATATTACTCGGACGCCTTCGAAGCGCCTTACGCGATAGATCGATAAGTTTTTCGAGTTCGACTTAGATATTTAATACCGTAAAGGCTCCGAAGCTATTATTTCTAATACTATTTCTAGACGATCTAATTTTCTAGAAAAAAGCTCTACTAATAAAGTATAGATCTCTAGCGATATAGAAGTATTTCTAAATATTTAATAAATAGTATATTCGAACGATAATATAGAATAGAAAGATATCGTTATAGTTCGATTAATAACGAAGAATAAATTCGACTTAAGTTCGGTCTAGTAAGAGTAGCTAGTGCGTATTAAGAATCTAGATTAATACTTTATAGAAGAAGACTATCTATTTCGAAAGATTAGTAATTACTTCGCTCTCTTTATCTCTATATTATTCTATCGAGACTTTATTAAGTATTATTATAAATACTACGAATATTATAGCGCGGCCGTTATAGAAAGTATCGTTAAGGTACGTAAATAATAACTATTTATAATAAAGGATATTCTTATATATACTCGAATTTATAACTAATACTAATTAGTCTAGAGATAGAAGAAGAACTAGAAAGAACTATATTTATAGATTAGACGGATCTCCCGACTCTTCGAGAAGTAGATAATCGACTTTATTAGCTCGCTATTAACTACGCTCTACGGAAATTAATAGATTCTAACGACTATTAATTTCTCTATAGACTAGTCGATAGTAAAGGTCGTAAAGAACGCTATAAACGAAGTAGTTATCGACTTTCTATTCGAAATCTACTACTAGTATAGAGTATTTTAAGAATTATTATCGAATAATAGCGCTAATCTAATCTCGAAGATTATCGAGTACTATCTTAATCGCGTTAAGATAAAGTATCGTATAATAATCTTTTACTACTCTTAGACTAATAAAAAGATAGAAAGATTTAATAGAATACTAGACGAGATCTTAACGAAGTAACTTATTAAATAATAAATTCTTTTATAGAATAAGTATCTTTTATTAACGTTATTCGTAACCCGTATTAGATTCTATATAGTAACTAGAATAAGTTTATATAAGTTTATCTACGGACTCGAATCTCGATTAATAGACGATTAACGAGAATTCGATCTATTAAATCTTAATATCGACTTTATCTCGAGACTAGAATAGCTATATATTATACGTTATAAAGTAAATAAGCTACTAGTCGAGAGAGAACTCTACTCTTAAAAACTATAATTAACGCGTTTAGAAACGCTATATCTTTTACTTAAAGAAGGCGATTTCGTTCTTCTAAATAATATATTAAAGTAGAAATTTAAATCTAACTACTTTAGACTCTTTCGGATTCTAAAGAAGCTATAGTTTAGTATATATGTACTAGAAACGATAAACTAGAAGATCTTACGTCTACTCGTTTATAGAAGCCGTTTAATATAATATTATTCGATAGATTTAGATAAGTAAACGATCTAATCGCTTACTAGAGTATAGTAAATATAACTCCGAATAGTTAGAGATAATATAATAAAGTCTTCGAATAAAGTACTTTAGATATTTAGTAATAAGTCTAATCTCCTAATATACTACGAGCTATTAATAATATTAAAGTAATAATAGATATCGTAAGAATAATTAGAAGATAGTTTAAGTAAAATAAAGAAGAGTCGTAGAGCTAAAGTAATACTAGTAAATAAACGTTGGCGAAATAGAGAATAGAAGCTAATATTCTACGGCGCGATATCGATAGAGAAGACTACGATAGCCTACGAGAGATAAACTATAATCGAAGTAGCTTTCGCTTCTAATTCTCTAGAGTAGATTACTCTATCTTTAAATAGATAATATTTTATCGCTAGAAAGAGTAACGAAGATATTAATACTTCGAGAGTATTAAATAGAATAGCTAGAATAAAGATTAGCTCTCTATACGCCTAGATTAGATAGAAATAGAGAAGTAGTAATAGACTATTATAGTCTAATCCTCTCGATACGCGAAGAATAGGGAACGAAGGGACTTTTAGTCCTCTCGAAATCTCTTCGATACTCTAGAAAAGAATAGAAAACTATATTTAGAATAGATAAGAGATCTTAAGAAATAAGAGTAATTCTATCGGACCGTACTAAGACGCCGTTATATAAGATATCTCTATTCTATTTTATATTAAGCTACTCGAATCTATATCGATAGATATCGAGATCTATCCTACTAATATCGTAGGGTATATAGATAATATAGTAGGCCTATTCTATATAAATTATATAGAGAATAGCTATAATAAGTTAATTAAAGCTATCTTAAGTAAGAAGGAATTATACTCCGTTAATAGACTAAATTAATCTAAGGATATAAGACTATAGAACCTTATAGACTAGAATATATCTACTTTATTCTTCTCGATATTCGCCGATACTATAGAAAGTATATCTACGATATTTTCTAGTTTTACTAGAATAACTCTTTCGATACTCGAGAAGAATCTTGTTTCTTAAGAGTACTTAAAACCTTATAAGAAGCGAAGATAAGATAATTTATTATCTTCGTTAGTAGTCTAAAATATTAACTATAATATAGTCGGATCTTTAGTTTCTCGTTAACGATATATCGAAGAACGCTTATTAAGATCTAATTCTAGACTAAAGATAGTATAAGACTAAATAATCTAATAATAATAGTATTCTTTATAGATAATCTATAGAAACTAGAGTATAGACTAGATCTCGACTCTTAGCTATACGTTATTAGGACGTTCTACGAAGCGCTCTAGGTATATTAAAAAACCTAAAAATAATTAATAAATTATAGTAAATCGCCTTATATAGTAGGCGTAGAAGAACCTTACTCGCGCTTCTCTACTTATTATATCGTACTAGAAGGTTTATCTATAAAATAGACTATTCGTAGAGTATCGTCTACTACTATAGTAGTATAAGAAAATAGTAATACTTCGCGGTCTTTTTACTATAATATCGTCGAAGTCGATCTTAGTAATAGTACTTCTATCGGCGCTGTCGTTTTATAATAAGAATATCCTAAAAGGCCTAAACTAGAAGTAGAGTCTAGTTACTATATATAGATAGATAGCGGACGAATATTATATATAGAATAAGTAGAAATAGTAGACTATCCGTACGCTAGATAATAGAAAGATAGATGTTCTAGTATTGGGTAAGTCGATATATAGCCTTATATAGACTATATTAATAAATCTATAAAAGACGAGACTAGTACGAATTATTACTACGTTATAATCTAACTACGTTTAGAGTCGTATACTAGTTTAGAAGATGTAGATATATATTATATAGTCTCTTTAGTATAACGATGTATTTCTAATATATATCTAGGCGAACTTCGTATCTATAATAATAGCTTAGGAGAAGAATCGATAGTATACTAACGATATCTTAATAGTAGTTTATTAGCTATATAGTTATATTCTTCCGACTCTAGACTAGTCTCGATAACTTCTATTCTTACTAAAGATATAGATATTATAGAACGACGACTTTATTAAGTCGGCGTTAGTAGAGAATATTACTCTATACGTATATTAGATTTATTGGTTCTACGAATAACTTTAATAGTTTTCGGCGTATAATATAGATCTAAAGTCTATTACGTTATCTTCTAGATAGCGATTAATATCTTTTAACGTCGATCTTCTATATCCGTTTATAGCGATAATACGAAGTCGAATCTATTCTCTAGATCTTTAATCTCGATAGCTATACGACTACTCGTCTCTTTAGTCTCGTTAGCTATATATAGACTACTTATTCTCTTACTAAAACGTACCTCTCTTATATCTTCTATTAGATCTTTTTTCTATATTTTAGGAAATCGAGTACGATATTTCTTAGTACTACGCGCTTAAATAGGTATTAATATTAACGTAGTAGATCGACGACGACTAGAAGCTTCGCTACTTATATCTCGATTATTAAATAAAGAATAATCGACTTCGCGAATAGTATAGATTATATATTTTCCGTCGAAAAGATATATTAAATTCGTAGAAATAGGCGTATTAGAGGTAGATATTAAAACGTACTCTAGGAATATTAACTCTCGATATAAGTCTAGTTTAACTATATAAAGATATATTTCGTAACGTAGATTATTTACGATATTTATTATATACTCTATAAGGGTATTCCTAACGTATATATTAGTAATATCTCTTTAACTATAAAATTCGACGGGTTTCCGAGAAATACGACTATATAGCTAAATCGATAAGCTATTATTAGGGAAAAAGGACTACTTCTAGTACTATTTCGTCTAGATAATAGAATTAATTACTATATCGCTAGACTTAACGCTATAAATATTATTATCGATCTAGAAACGAATTAGTAACTATATCTTTCGATATAGTATAGTATATTTACGAAAGAAACTATCTTTATTATCTTAGTTACTAGTAGGTCTTTAATTATCTTCTTAACTCGTTAATAGTATTAAGTATTTAGAACTTATAGTCTAGTTAGCGTTTTAACTTATCTAAGTAGTATAATAACTATAATAGTAGTTATAGAAGATTTAGTTTTAATCGATAAAAGACTTAGGACTTAGAAATATAAACGACTAGAAAGAAGTATAAAAATAAGTAAGAAGAAAAGAAGTAAGAGACGTCTACTTATACTTCTTAAAACCTCGCCGGATTAATCTCGAATTAGCTTCGAAGAGTAATAGCGAGTACTATTACGCGTATAGACTCTCTTTACTTACCGTCTTAACGATCTTAATTTACTCTCGATTTATTTAGCTTTACTATTCTAGGCGTATATACTATTTCTATAGCTAAAGATAAGAGATATATACTCGCTCTATATATCTCGATCGGTACTAAAGATATAGATACTATAAATACTTATTCTAACGATAGAACTACTTAGGAAACGAAGTATTCGAGATATAGAAATACTATTTTATTCTCTACTATAAGACTAATAAAGGTACTCGATATTCTTCGACGACGAATAAGACTATTTAATAGTCTAGATAGAGGAGGATATAATAAAATAGGTACTTTATATACTAAGTATTATAAAGACGTCGGGACTCGTCTTTCGGTCTCGGCTAGCGTCGTACGCTATTGTACAATCTCTAGAAAGTATATAGTCTGACGAGGCCCCAGGCCCCGTTGAAATAGGACAAGTCCTCCGTGAAATCATAGTAGCGCCGCCCTATGATCACGTGACAGATGGCCGGGCCGACTGTGAAGAAATTAGGTCGCATTCGTACAATCTACGGAGTGCCCGAAGTTGATCACACACCGGCTACCGTATGCAATGATCTTTTACAAGTCGCCGAATTCTATTCATGTTTGAAGGTCCTATCGCAAGCAAGATTTCGTTCCGTCCCTCAGGCTGCGCTGACCCATATGCTTGGAACTTTACTTGAACGATAGGTACTAGTATGGCTCTCAGCTTTCACAACCGGGCGCCTTCCGCACGCCGCGACACCGACTGCATGATGCGCTTGTTCCTCCCCTTCCACCCGTCCAGCTCGCCCAAGTCCCGCGCGGGCCACGGATGAGGCTCTTTGCCCGTCTTGGGCGGCGTGGCTCCGAATCGCCACTGCCACAGGTCCGCATAGTCTTGGCTTAGCTTGCCCTCCATCATGTCGACGATATACTGCCCGATCACCGGCAGGAACTTGAACCCGTGGCCCGAGCCAGCTGTGCCGATGAACAAATTCTTGTTGGTCGGCGAAGGGCAGATGCGGAAGTTGACGTCCTTGGTGTCGCCATCCCAGCACATCCGCGTGGATACCCATTCGCGGTCCGCGAGCTCGGGGATTTGGTCGCGGACGAACTCTCTCATTTCCTCCTCAATCTGTCGGGGCACCCCGTCCTCCGGAAAGTCTTGGTGCGAGTGGCCGAGTGATGCTCCGGGAACTTTGGAATTGTAATAATTCGTGATGAAGCGGCAGCTGCAGAGCTTGAGGAGGCCGTTCTCGTCGGGAGGAAACAGGATCCCCTGTTCAAAGTCGTCCACAATGGGTAGGTTTCGATACTTGTGAGCCTCGTCCGGCGACAGCTGAATGACACCCACACAGTGGGAACGGGCGACGATCTCATCTTTGGCGTCGATCAGGGCGGCGGTGTTGGCGCCAGTGCAAAGAATGACCACGTCGGCCAAGTGTGCTTCACCGTTCTGGGTCAGGGCGCCGATACAGTCGCCCTTGTCGTTGAAGAGCAGTCGCTGCACCCAGCCGCGATCTCCTGTCACATACTCGACACCGTTTGCTTGAGCAGCGGTGGCCATACGAAGAAGCGCCTGACCGGACGGAACCTGTTTCGCACATCAACAAAGGTGACCACAAGTACGGACGATGTCCTCACCCATCCAGCCTCGGGACTCCAGAGACTGGTCCACCCGGGGAAAGACCCCGTGAATTCGGGCCATTTCCGCTTGATTTCGTCGACTGAAATAAACCTAACCCCTTCGCGGCCGGCGTTCTGGCTGGTCTCGTGGGCGGCCTTCAAGAACTCCCGAGTCAAGTCGTGGGCGGCCATGAGCCAGCCGGTGTGATGGAACATACCCGAAAACAGATTCCCGGACGCTTTCCAGATCTTCATGGCCTCAACCCCAAGCCGGGAGTACAGTGGGTTCGGGTAATCGAATCGCACAATCTTGTTGAGATCCGTCGCCGCCGCATCCTTGGAAGGGGCAGCAAATCGATCAAGGACCCTGACGCGGGTGTAGCCACGTTTAGCCAGGTGGAAGGCGGTAGAAGTGCCAAAGGCACCTCCACCCACAACGAGGACTGAGGGATTAACGATTTCAGACATGCTTGGAGATTGTGATTACAGAAGCTGATAGCGGGAGAGTGTCTTTCAGGAGCCCCTTATGTACAGAAGCCCCGGGTGATTCCCAGTGGAGCATCTGGACAATTCCTCCCCGGTATTTGATAGCGGCTTGCTCGACCGCCGCCGAAGAGGTGCGCATGATGCCTATCGATCTTTCATGGGCGGGGAAGGTCGTCCCAGGGCCCGACAGAGTGTATCGCCATTGGCCGATAAGCAATGACCTCGGCGAGCAGAAGTGCCTTGCCGAATCAGAGGCCGAAGGGTCTTCCGTCAGCACGCGGCGAGCGGCGCGGCTTTCCCGATATAGAGCCGGGACCGCCGCTATATTGTCGGCGAACACTGCTAGCGGCCGAGAAGTGCGCCGATCAGCCTCATGGCCACCAAGTGCGCGGCAGCATCCAGAAGAAGGAAACCTGGAGATATGGGCAAAGCTCAGGTCTATAAAGATGCGGCAGCGACTCGAGCCACTGTCATTGTATCACTACTTCAGAAACCGTATCAGAATGCACTGTGAACGAACCCGTCAATCATCATGGCGGTTTGGAATGGTGCAGACGACGCCGCGGTCGACAAGATGGCCCCGAATCTTGCCCTCACGGAAAGCCTTCCACAAGAAGGCATCAGCGACATGATTAGCGACAGGCACCAGCTGCCGACATCCCTCTGCAACCTCTCCGAGGAAGAGTTGGACAAGATGAAAAGACACCTGGTTCGAAAGCTGGATATGCGTCTCATGGGTCCGTTGATTTTGATGTATATCATGAACTACCTCGACAGGTGAGACGCTACGCTGAGCTGGGGTCGTGCGTCACCTGACCTAAGCTGATGGCATCTCCAGAAATGCCATTGCCGCTGCAAAGATCTCCGGTATAGTGGAAGACCTGGACCTCAGTGATTCTCAATACCAGACCTGCGTCAGTATTCTTTTCGTCGGGTAAGGAACGACCTTTGTCCGCTCCGGCGGGACCTGAGACTGAGTTTGAAATGTGTAGCTACATTTTGATGCAAGTTCCCTCGAATCTGTTTCTGAACAAAATCGGCCGACCGTGTCTCTATCTGCCCACCTGTATGATGATTTGGGTACGCCAAGCCCTCCTCTCGACTGGTCGAGGCGATTCCATCTCTGACGTGCAAAACAGGGTGTCCTTTGTGCTTGTGCCGGAGCTGTACACGGCTTCGGCGGTCTCCTGGCGACACGGTTTCTGCTGGGATTCATCGAGGCGGCATATTTTGTAAGTGACTCTGCCCTACAATCTTCGCATCGCTTTCCGTACGGCCCTACTCTACTGCGGCTCTCTTCTTTCGGGTGCTTTTTCTGGGCTCATCGCGGCAGGCATCACCAAAGACCTTGACGGGTAAGCGCCCACTCAAGCATGGGCGTCAGCCAAATCAGATCGCCTTGAGCTTTTACTAACGGTTGAATCAGGGCCATGGGTCTCGCATCCTGGCGATGGCTGTTCATCATTGAGGGATCCATGACTGTCGCCATCGCGCTCTTGGCCCTGTTCGTTCTTCCCGACTTCCCCATCAACACGAGGTGGATCTCTCCCGTTGAACGTGACCTGGCGACGTGGCGGCTGTATATCGACGTGGGCCAAGAGGACTGGGTCGACTCGCGGCGCGAATCCCTCTGGGACGGCCTGAAACTCTGTCTGCACGACCCGAAGACCTTTATTGGCATTCCCCTGATCTTTGGCGTCGTCTCATCCGGGACCATCAGCAGCTATTTCCCCACCGTCGTCAGCACGCTGGGTTACAACCACACCAAAACCCTTCTTCTGACAGCGCCGCCATACCTGCTCTCCTGCATCGGCGCCCTTGGCGTGTGCCTCAATGCCGACCGCACGGGCGAACGCTACCTCCACTTTACGCTTCCAGTCTGGGTGTCGGTGGCCGGGTTCGTCATCTCGGCCTCGACCCTCAATGTGCCGGCCCGATACTTCTCGATGATGATCATGCTACCGGGCATCTATACCGCCTTCACGCTCGGTCTGACGTGGATGGCCAATACCATGCCCCGTCCCCCGGCCAAGCGTGCAGCCCTTCTGGCCCTGTGCAACGCCTGTTCTAATTGCTCGAGTGTGTACGGCCCCTTCATGTATCCGGACTGGCAGGCACCACGGTTCATCATCGCCATGTGCGTCAACGCAGGGACGGCCCTCATGTCCATCGCTGTGGCTACCGGGTTTAGGTTTCACCTGGTGAGGCTCAATCGGCAGCTAGATATCGACGAAGGGTTTGGCCCGAATGCAGATGGCGAGGCGGACGCCGGGCCCCAACAGGGTGGCACGGCTGAGAAAGGGTTCAGGTACTTGTATTAAGTAGTCGGGCAGGGACTGGAGCCAATGCCCGGCTGGTGGTTGATTTTGGCTTGGCAGATGTTTTCCTTGACGACAAAGATCTCTCGCAGGATCAATACAGGATCAATACCACCGGAGAACTTGCAGGGCGCGGGCTATCTTATATTACTACCCCAGCTGCGCAGTAGAAACCCCCCCAGGGAAACGCCTAAGGTAGCCCCAGACTTTAATACCGAATACCCTGCCTGTTTTTCTGCCGTGGTTCTCCCGCTTGAACGGTCGCGTCCTCCTCACTTCGGTGAACCGACAGATGCTTGGTGGATGTTTGACGTGCTCTAGATACCTGCGAGTCGAATGACTTGTCACTAATAACAGACTTAGAAGCCTAAATGGATATAAAAGTATGAATACTTATTTAGCCAGGCAGACTGAATACCGCCCTGGAGGGCCCGTTCAAGCGGCAAGATGTTCTATGGGCGGCTCGCCGCAGCAGGTTTCAGCCGGGTTTTCTCCTGCATCGAGGAAATGGAGTACTATGCCTGGTTCCTATCTTGTGGTCTGCTGTGGGTTGGATTGGTTCGACGAATCTCATTATTGCGAGTTCGAAATTATGAACATCGACATCGATCTCAGCTCCTGTTCCGAGTTTCACGTTGGTTCGGCTACAGCCGACACCGACAACGTCTCCGTGTCCGTCTCGGCCTCCACTTCCGCCTTGTGACAAGGCACCAAGATACGCGAATATCATCGGGTGCAACGCCAATGCCACTGAAATCTCCGGCATCAAAGGGCGTATAAAATCGCGGAACGGACAACTCGATCGACGATTCAATATGGGGACAAAGGTTACTCACAAGAAGGGTAGGGCAGCAGAGTGAGACAAAAGCCATTCAGAGCAGATCCCAGGCTGGCAAAGGGACCAGGTATATAAATCTCTGACCTTACCCCCCACAAACCGACCCCGCGTCCATAAGTGAACATCAACCGTTGAAGGATACAAACACCACCTCAACCAGTAGTACAGGAGACTTGGGCTACACCAACAGCAACACCATCACCGATATCAACATCAGTCTGACTACCCACTGGCTATCCCGTCCAGAACCACCATTGTCGCTCTTGCCAGCTCCCATCAACGACTCAACAACTGAAAGATGTCTAACGACTCCGACCCATCCCTCCCCATGCCCGAACCCACGGTGCCGCGCCGACCCTTTCCCACATTCAAGCTCCTCTCATTCGACATCTACGGCACGTTGATCGACTGGGAACAGGGGATCTTGGAGCGTCTGAAACCATTGATCTCACGCCTCGACGGAGCCACCAACGCACCCGCCCACGCGCAACAGTACCTCGAAGACAGCCGCAGCAACCCGACCGGCCGCCCGGTCCAACTGGCCGCCAAATTCAACGAGATTGAAGCGCAACTCCAGGCCGAGAACCCCGGCGCAAAGTACTCTGAGATTCTACGGAAAGCGTATCTTCGACTTGCTGAAGACTTGGGCGTGACGGACACCAATATTGACCAAGAAGCCCAAGCCTTCGGCGCCAGCATTGGCGAATGGCCCGCGTTCTCCGACACCGTGAACGCGATGCGCCGGCTGCGGAAATACTATGATTTCCTCGTGCCGCTGAGCAACGTCGACCGCGACAGTTTTGCAGGCACGCGGACCGGCCCATTGCAAAACAAAGTCGATTTCTTCCGCGTCTACACCGCCCAGGACATTGGCAGTTACAAACCCAACCCCCGCAATTTCGATTACCTGATCGACCACGTCAAACTGGACGCCGGTGTTGATAAGCACGATATCCTGCACGTTGCACAGAGTCTGTTCCATGACCATGTCCCTGCGAAAAGGGCCGGATTGAGTTCCGTCTGGATCAATCGTGCTGGTGCGGGCATGGGCAGCGGTAAAGGGATCAAGACTTTGCATGACGCCGGTGAGGTCGGCTATGGGTGGAGGTATGCGACCTTGGGGGAATTTGCGGATGAGGTGGAGAGACAGTTTGCTGAGCAGCAGCAGGGGAAAGGACAATAAAGAATAAAACCTCAAGGTGGGCTTGGACGGCGAAATCCATCGTCCACGGACAGCTTCAGTAGAAGATTGTTGGTCCCTGATGATTGAAGATCAGGCGGACTGTCACATAGATGGCTACTCCAACGATACTATATCGGGACTTTGTTTCCAGGAGTATCTTGGGATGAGCTGGTCCAACAAGACAAGACAGGGAAAATGCCAAAAAATTAAGGATATAGGACAAAATTGCGTCCAAGTACAATCACATCCACCAGCAGTTCCATTCCAATGCATCTACCCATAGTCAGCTTACTCAGAGGACAGGAAATCGAGATCGGATGAAGCATATCATGACGAGGAATGCGACAAAGTCGGCATTCCGGACAGGCAAAGGTCCATTGCCCGGTCTTCGGGGAGTGGCACCAAAAACCGCCTGGTCCGTTCTGTGGTAGCATAGCACGAAACGGATGGAATCCATGCAATCATCGACGAAAACATCAACTCTTCATTATTCTTGAATCAGTACGGACTATAGCCGTCGCTCACAGGACCAAGTAAGCCTTCCTTGCCTTTCCCAGCCGCAATCCGAGTCTATCTTGTCCCTCTCATGAAGGTGGAAAAAAAAGGGTATCTTTTTTATGTGTCTTGTGGCCAAGTCAACGCAACGCAAAATATCATGGCAGGAGTGCAATCCAGGACGGCATTCGCAATCGGCACCCATCGGCCACCAGTAACAGGAACAGGAACTGTGCAGTTCACAAGCAAGCAAATGCGCCCTCCATCAACCAAGGGCATAATACTCAGACCCACTCCGTCGGAAAATCTCTGTTCAGCGCTTGCTGGCCGAGGAAGCCTTGCTTCTTCTGGGACGCTTCTAACGCCCTCCGTGTAGCGGCGTACCGACCGAGTCCTGAATAGTTTGTTAGCGGCATAGTTGATATGGAGATCAAGCCATCAGCATCACCTTTTTCCGCTTGCGCTGGCTGCCGTAATCATCCCCGTCATCACCGTCGCCATCTTCTGGGTCTGAATATCCCTCGCCATACCCCACGAAACTGTCGTCGCCATAACTTCGCTTCTTCCCACGCGTCTGGCGCTTGGGCTCTGCCGTGGCTGGGACCGATTGTCGTGCTGTGACTCCGTTGGCATAGCGCGAAAACGCGGGCTGGGGGGCGACCGGGGTGGCAGGCCGCGGCGGCAGAAATCCCGTCGGTTTGGGCTTATCAAACCCTAGGACGTCTTCCCAGTGAGTGTTGTCTCGGACAGTTCCAGGCTGCATCTGCATGGCTTGTTTCAACTTCGCTCGGAAATCCGGCGTCACCTCGATCTTCGACTTGGCATGTTCTGCATTCCACTGTGCGTCTGGTTCAAGACCCCAAGGCGACGAGCCTGCCATGCGCCGCAACGGGCCAGGTTGATCCTCCTCGACATTGCGCTCCGCTTTGACCGGTTTGTTCCGCCCAGCCAAACCAAAACTCTTGATCTGTCCTTCATACGACTTACGCAGCTTGTTGATTTTCTCCCCAGTTTTCGGATCGATGCGAGCGACACTGTGTAGTAACGAATTCATCCCATACAGCGCCAGGAGGTGCTTCTGTGGATTGGGCCTCTGACGCTCGACTTCTGCACATGGTCCAGCGCGTTAACAAAACCTGCAAAACAAGCACAACTACTGTAACTGTGAGTGGTGGGAGATTCAGGAGAGCCTTACTGGATCTGCAAAGAAGAAAGGCTTCGCCCATATCTTTCTGTAGCTGTTCCAGAGTCACCTCGCCCTCCGCATGTCGAGAAGTGTTATCCGCCGCGCGATCCAGGGAGTTTTGCGGCTCGTCCGCATTTTCTGTCATTGTAATGTCTGTATCCGTAACATTATGCCGGTCATGGTTCGTTGCTTGTGTCGGTGTCTGTACCTCGCTCTGATCCGCCTCGCCAAACCCAGCCCCATCAAGCCTTGGTCGCTTGTCCCGATGTTGGTCCAAATCCTCTGCCATACCAAAACTAGACATGCCCGTCACACTGTGCGCTGGAGTCGGAAGAGACTGCGGATGGATCGATTGCTGAGGAAGCGATGCGGAGGGGCCTTTTCGTGGTGAGCGCGGAGCCGATCGACTCGATCCCTCGTCGGTGTGTTGATGTTGTGACGTTCCATAGGCCGAGACATAACTCTTTGTAGCGACGGACATCAAAGATGGAGATTTGGGCGACTCCGACGGTGTCTCAGTCTGGTGCCGTCGCTTGAGCCCCGATTCGGGCGGAGAAGTCGGCGAGAGCGGAACGGCCGTCGATGGGGACAGGAAGGACATCAACTAGCGCAAAAGAAACTCGGGATATGGGAGGCACGCCCAGCAGCCGCCGTAGCAGATTTCTTGCTAGGCTGAGCGTGGGTGGTGTGTTGCTTCTGGCGAGCGCGGCGTCCGTTGATTCCACGTCAAAGCAGGGTCGCTAGTGATGAGAGTCGCCGTGGAGTATCGTTAACGGTATCTATATCGTCGGAGGTAAGGGGTAGATTGCTGCGCTAAAGTCGGTGGTGGACAAGGATGGACGGGGTTCGAGTTGACAACGAACCGAATGTCAGTTGAATGAACGAATCTGACGAGCAGCCAGAAAGAGGAGGATTGCAGTCCAGCCTCAACTTGGAGCCTCCGGCTGGGGTGTCAGTCGACGCCGGTCACGTGGATTGCATAATAAATCGCGTATCAATCACGTGAGAAGCTGCCTGCGGAGATGATGCAAGTCACATGACCTGGACTTCACTGTACTGCGCCGTATAATCCTCCGTAGTACCGGACCTGGCGCGTTATCTTATCAGTCAGTGAGTGACACGATGGCAGCCTTGTATCAAACATCAACGCATTTCATTCACTTCTGCCGTTAACGTTCCCCCAGTCTTGTCTACCCTAATCACCATGGAGCAGAGATCCAAAATACCCCCGGGTCTCCCTAGGGAGAATCCCACAAAATCATACTGGCAAGATCCACCTTCAGATATAGCAGACTGCCGCACGACTCCTGACCTGCCCACTCACGCCGACGTGGTCATAATCGGCTCTGGGCTCAGCGGCGCCAGCATATCCTACAACTTGCTATCCTCAGAGCCGAATCTGAGAGTCGTCATGCTTGAAGCCCGCCAGGCCGCAAGCGGCGCAAGTGGCCGGAACGGTAGGTCCAATTATCCAGCGACGCAACTAGTGGACTCATATTGCGCTCGTGTTTCCCATTCTACCTCTCCTTTACTCCTTACCAGCTCCTATGCATCTTGCAAGGCCATCAGGAACAGCTCCTACTGTAGGACCCTTGCCAATACCAGTGCCTCGTGCTGACCCACATTGATTCCTTTCCCTCTGTTCGATTATCATCTCCATTGCACTTGATTTCTATTATATGTGCCACCCACAGTCTCTGATAAATAACCCCCTCGTCAAGGCGGACACACCAAACCGGCGACCTACCGCTCATTCAGCGACAACGTGCATTCTGTGGGCGCCGAGGACGCCATGAAAATCACACGACTAGAACAAACCACCATGGAAGCCGTCCACGCATTCGCCCACAAACACCAAATCGACTGCGACTCGCACCGCTGCCAAACCGTCGACGTGTTCTACGACCTGGAACAGTTACAGGCAGCGCGAGAATCCGTGGCCTTGATGGAGAAACTCATGGATCCCCAGAACTGTCCTAAGCACATCTTTCACGACGGAAAAACAACAGCCGAACGGTTCCTGGCCCAAGACAGCATGGGCGCAGTGGAATACGAATCCGGCAGCCTGAACGCGTACAAATTCACCATTGGTATACTAAAGCTCGCTCTGCAAAAGGGTCTCAATCTACAATGCAACACTCCTGCAATTCGAATCAGCAAATCTGACACAACCAACCCAAACGCGTCATCAGTTCTGTGGACCATCTCGACTGCGTCTCGCGGCACAATCACCACTCCCAAACTAGTCCTCGCCACAAACGCCTATTCGGCCCACCTATACCCGCCGCTCCAAGGCGTGGTCGTACCTCTGCGAGGCGTGGTCACCGCCCAACGACCGGGCCTATCGATATCCCAGCGCAGTTGCGGTCGTGGTCGTCTGGACACCACATATTCATTTGTCCATGAAGGTGACTTTGAATACATGATTACTCGACCGTCGCGAGACCAAACTGACATAAACTCAAACTTTGACATCGTCATCGGAGGCGGCATGCACGTTGCTCCCCGGGGAGGGCTCGACGAGTACGGAAATACAGACGACACCACGTACGACAAGGCCTCAGCGGAGTATTTGCTCCAGTGTACGAAGAACAAGTACTTCAATAACATTTGGGGCCCAGACAATTCCGACGGCCAGTGTCGGAGCGTCTGGAGTGGCATTATGGCATTCTCGGCTGATGGGTATCCCTTTGTTGGTCCCGTTCCAGGCGAACAGGGCTTATTTCTGCATGTTTCGTTCCAAGGCCATGGGATGGTGCTTTGCTTTTCCTGTGCCAGGGCAGCGGCGAGTATGATTTTGGATAGCGGTAAAAATGGAGAGCAAGACGAAGCTGTCGACAGCAGCAAACACAGCATGAGTAGTTTAGATAGCTGGTTCCCGAATTGTTATCGAGTCACGAGTGAAAGATTGAGTCGCAAATTTACAGATGATCACCTTCCTTGAAACAAACATCGAACCCGCCGTGTGGCCATGAGGGCGAGGAAGGTCGGATCAAGTTCAGGAAGAAGAGGCTGCGAAAAGGGGGTAGGTGGCGTGGTCGGACGATATAGACGTATGGACATGGAATAGAGGATTACGTACAGATGGATAGATGGCTCGTCCAAGTCTCGAGAGAAGGCGATGCAACACGCTATATTTCAAAGAATTAGAGGTCGGGTCGATGCAACGGGAAATTTTGGGATTCTCGTATCTCCAGTCACCAGGAGCGAATCAATGAGAACGATTTCAGCAAACAGACTTCAAAACGAACATTGTTCGGAAAGATATGTTGTGTTTGGAAAAGATACCTTATGCTCTCGCATCCTATCATCAAGAAGATCAAGTCGACCAGTCCTACGCATTCAGACTCAGATTACCCAACGCCGGAGCAACGCAATATTGCGTATTTTCCCGTAAAATAACAAAAGCAACGCCGTCTATTGCCGTTGACGTTAACCTCCCAGTCACTTGTCTTGCTTGTCCCTAGGGACCCTCCAGGATTGATTCAGTTTCCAATGTGCTGCCATTTTTGAGAGTCATAAAGTCATCACGTGTACAGTCCTGGCATCCCTCATGCGAGTCTTGAGTCCTTTATTGCGTCTGGCACTGGGCCTGGTGAGGACCGTCATCATCTTCCCAGCCATCATGGCCTTCCTGACCACCAATCTCTTCAGGATCCGCAACTTCGAAACTGACTTCGTCGGCCTCTTCGGCTTCGATTGGTGGCGGTGGCGGCGGCAGCAATTTCCGCAAAGCCTCCAGAGCGGCCGGATCCGAAAAGTAGCCGTCTTCAGGGAACTCGACTTCGACGACGAGGTACAAATCGCCCTTGGCGTCGGACTTCTTCAGCGGCATACCTTCGCCGCGGACTTTGAGAACTTCGCCAGGACGCAAAATCTGGCCAGGCGTCTGAGGATGGTTGAGCTCGATGCCCCGCCCGTCGAGATGTTTGAGCACGACGCGGTGGAAGCCCGTGAGGGCCTCAGCGAGGGTGATGTGGATCTTGGCCGTCAGGTCGTTGCCCGCCCGCTGGAAGGTTTCATGCGGCAACTCGACAAGATGGAAAATGATGTCGCCGGTCTGCTCCGCGCCAGGAATCTGATCGGCCTCGCCTTCAAGTTTGATCTGATCGCCTTCTCGGGCGCCCCGTGGGATGTAGAGCTCGAGTTGTTTGCGCTCCTCCGTGACCCGCTTGCCCTTGCACTTTTTGCATTTGTCCTTGGGATTCCATACCTGACCGGTACCTTCGCAGGCGCCACATTCGACCATGCGCTGCGTCAACATGCCGGGTCCAACTTGACTCAGGATCTGTCTGACACCTTTACCCTTGCAAGTGGCACATTCTTTGGGTTGTGCCTTTTCCACGCCGCCGCTGCCGTTGCACTTGGAACAAATGACGTTCTTGGTGCTGGAGAACTTGACCGTCTTTCCCTTGTACAGGTCTTCTAAGGTAACTTCGTATTTCTGGTTTTCGTCGGGACTTCGTCGCATCCTCCGGGGACCGCCGCCCATGCCAGGCATGCCGCCGCCCATACCGAACATGTTCAGAATGTCTTCCATGTTGACGTCAGCGCCCATGCCGCCGGGGCCTCCTCGGCCGTCAAATGCGGCCATCCCGTATCTGTCGTACATTTGTCTCTTTTCATCATCGGATAAGATCTCATATGCCTGTGTCACGGTCTTGAACCGGGCTTCGGCTTCCTCTTTCTGGTCTTCGGGGACTTTGTCAGGATGACTCGCTAGGGCGGCCTTGCGATAAGCCTTTTTGATGTCTGCGGGTGAGGCATCTTTGGAGACCCCGAGGATCTCGTAGAGATCAGTGTCTTTGTTATCGGAATTGGCTTCGCCGTTCATGTTGTAGGTGTTTCAATTTCAATTTTCTTTGGTTGTGAGATTACGTGTGATAAGGAGGATTGCTAAATAGGAAAAAAAGGTGAAGAATGTCTGAATTTGAGATCTTTGTTTCGACAGGGATCAATGGGGTTTGGACTGCCAGAAAAATGCCGTAGTACAAGGTTGTAGGGCAGTGGTGAGAAATCTGGCCGGCGGGTGAATTCAGCCCCAGACTTTGCAGGTCGAGTTGCGACTGGAATGATCCAACGTAAAATCGTCAGACGATAGTACCACTAGGCACGTTAGCGCAGGGTCCAAGCCGTCTAAATCGTCCAAATCTTACGGCGGAGCAGATCCTCGCGGCTGTGGCTTCGGCTTAGTCAGCGACCAGCCTGAAATAAACCGCATTGACAGCCTCGTCCAAATCGAGACCAACCTTGAACATTCTCGCGCATTCGACCCGTGAACGACTAGGAGTTTTTTGTTCATTCTCTCTGGGGGTGCGCGTGCGAGTCCGACTTCGACCACACGTGCCAGACACATGAGGACTGGCCCGGCCGCCGGGCTGATCTCTGCCACCGGCTGGATCTGCAAATCATGCCGTGCCCATCAAGCAGAACCCCATCGTCTGCGAGTTAGTCCTAGACCTTCGCGGACCGGCAGCCTCGTCCAGGCTCGCAAATCGTCCTCGTCTTATTCTGTCTCGTCTAGTGGTTCCACTCCCGGCCGCCGAGGAAAGTTGCCAGACAGACCCGCTCGAACACGGTTTGCGCCATCGCCGACAGGAAACCTGCACCTTGGATCGATTCGAACAGCACTGTTCAATTATCTCCTGGCACGGGCAACACAAGGGCAATTCCTCCTTCGGATCGAAGACACAGATGCCAAACGAACCATCCCGGGCGCCGAAGAAGGACTCTACCGCGACCTACAGTGGGCGGGACTGCAATGGGACGAAGGGCCTCTGGTAGGCGGTCCATACGGACCATACCGACAATCGGAACGATTACCCCTGTACAAAAAGCACATTGAGACTCTACTCTCGACAGGTCGGGCATACCGATGTTTCTGTACGCCGGAGCGACTGGATGAATTGAACCGACGTCGGCACGAGAAGGGACTCAACCTGGGTTACGACCGCAAATGCCTTCAAATACCGACTGGAGAGGCGGAAAATCGAGCATCGCGCGGCGAGCAGCATGTCATTCGGTTTCTCTCGCCGCCCGATTGGCCGAGATATACTGACTTGGTATACGGGCGAAGCGGGCACGGGGCCGAAAAGACCAAGAAGCTGCTCGTTGACGAGCCGGTGTACGAAGACACGATCCTGATCAAATCCGACGGGTTCCCGACCTACCATTGGGCGAATGTCTGCGACGACCATGAAATGCACATCACGCACGTCGTGCGCGGCTCTGAATGGATGGCGTCAACACCCTTACACGTCGCGCTGTACCAGTCTCTGAGATGGGATGCGCCGCAGTTCGCACACGTGCCGCTTCTCGTCGACCAGAACCGCCAGAAGCTGAGTAAACGCAACTTCGACTCGGACATTGCCAGTTTCCGCAACAAAGGCATCTTCCCGGAAGCCCTGGTCAACTTTGCCGCCCTGCTGGGCTGGTCGCACACGCAGAAGAACGACGTGCTGAACCTTCAACAGCTCGAGAAGCTGTTCGATCTCAAGATCACAAAGGGGAACACTATTGTTTCGTTCGACAAGCTGCAGTACCTGCAAATCAAGCATGCACGCCGCAGGGTCGAGGCCGCCGGCGAGCCCTTTGAGCAAATGATCCGCGAAGTCGCTGTCGCCGTGTTGGAGAGGTACGGCGCCGCCCGAGTCTCTGGGTTTCTGGGCCGACGGTCTCTTCGCGACGTATTGGCGACGATCCTCAAAGTTCCTTCTTTACCGTACCGGTCGGCCACCGACTTCGCGGAGAACCAGTGTTCCATATTCTTTGAGCCTGCGGCAACGACGCCAGAACAGCTCGACCAGTTCGACTTCGATCCTGCCCATCTGCATGCTCTGCGCGTCGCGGCCTCCACGCTCTGCTTGATTCCCGAATCCCAATGGTCCGAACAGGTCCACCACTCCCAGCTGCGGATGCTAGAATACCAGGTCCCAATAGCGGAGACTGACGGAACAACAACAACAACAACCGTTGAAGATGTCGCTGGTGCTACTGCTGCTACTGCAGCAAAATGGAAACGCGATCTATACCACTATCTCCGCTGGGCGTTGTTAGGCGGTGCCCGCGGGCCCGGCATCGCCGCGACATTGGAGATTCTCGGCCGTGAGGCGTCCGTGGCCCGAATCCAGGCCGCGAACCGTCTGGCTCAGCAGTATGAAGCTGTAAAAACCAAACCTGTCATTGAGGCCCAGGCGTTCAAGGGTGATGTCGAGGGCAAGAGACGTCTGGATAAGCAGTGGAAGGGATATTCGATGGCTGGAGCTGGAGCTGCTAGTAAAGCAGTTGCTGCTTGATGCACTGGCACTACCATTAGTACAGTTACTGTTGTCGGCGTCGGTGTTGATACTGATGATGGTGCTGCTCCACCTGCATAATGTCATCATATTGTTCCAAATTGGTCTCTGGGTCCAAAATACCTAGGTACGCAGGCTGTACGTTGACTACTCAGTGGTCCCTGGTACTATGCGTAGTACTACTATGTACCGTTGTAGGTACCTTATATCAAGTACTACAGTATACTGATATACCCCGAGTCTCTTCTGAAACTGAACGGGATTTTGTTTAATCGTTCCAAAACTTCTCATGACCAGAGAAATCAATACCAGGATAAAATCCCCCTCACGGTCGGATTGGAATCGAACCACTCAGAATTCTGTTGCATTTCTTCTCATCTCATTGTCTGTCTCCAGCCTACTTGTTTTGTCTTGTCACTGTCTATTTCGTAGTATTCTGCTATTCAGTCACCTCCCTAACCAACTCCCAGTTCCCCTTGAGATCCTCCTTCCACAGTGTGACTTTATTATCGCCGCCACTAACAGCAAGGATATTTCCACTGAGACTCCAGCTGACGCGCCACAGGACGGCATCAAACTCGAGGGTCTTTGCGAGCGTCCACGAACCGGGTGCCACGTCGGGACTGGTGTTTGTCCAGATCTTGACCGTCTTGTCCTGGCTCGCGCTGGCGATGTACGTCTTGGACAACAGGGTAGGCGACCACGCCACGTCACGGACCCAATCCGAATGTCCTTGGGGAAGCACCACGGTGTTTTCGTACGTTTGGGTGGCATTGTTGAAGTCCCACACTTTGACTGCGTTGTCGCTGCCTCCGGTCACGAAACGTCGAGTCGGACCAGAGGTACCCGCGCCGCCGTCCTTGCGTGCAATTGCGCCCGGTGCACCCGCGGGAGCCCAGCTTACTGCATTCACGCCCATGGGGTGTGCTGGAAAGATGACATGTCCCCATTGGTTGTCTCGGAACTCCAGGACGCTGACGTTGCCGTCGGACGAGGCACATGCCAAAAGACATCCCAGCTCAGGTGGTGCCCATGACACCATGTTGACGGACGCTGTGTGGATTGTCGACGTAAACACTAATGACCATGTTGGTTGTTGGTTGGGCTGTTGGGCCGGGGTTTCCCGGTAGATGTGGACGCGGCCGTCGTAGGATGAAGAGGCGAGTAGAGTGCCGAATTTGGGATGGGCCCACGATACACACCAGACTGCGCCATCGTGGCTGTAAGAAGAAATAGGGTTAGTTGACATTGACCACCGAAACTAGACTTGTCGCTCATGATGTGATAATGACAAGGAACCATACCCTTTCAGTGTCTCCGTTAATCGGTGCTGGTCGCCGTCGATCTCGAAGATTTTGATCGTCTTGTCGCTGGAGCAGGTAGCTAGCCGGCGGCCATAGTAATCCAAAACTGCATCATGCTACACAGGGAGTTAGTAGTGTGCCAGTAATTGAACGATGAGAAGCGTAGAGATTTGGGTAACTGAACATGGAAAAGAAGTCCAATAAGACTGAACGAAGGGAAATGGAAGGGAAGGCATCAACTAAGCAGCTCTTTTTAAGCCGGAAAAAGAGCCTCGACAGTGAAGAACAAAGGGGGAGAAACCAAGAGAGACTTACAATCATGTCATCATGGCCCGAGTTGGCAATGACTTGCGCCTGTAAAGATATCGTGGTCAGCGAGGTCCTCAAGAACGTAGCCACCAATGTTCTGTGCTGTAACGTGGTATATCACAGTTCCCTCGTATGCCCACTCATCAATCGTGAAATCAGCCATGTTGAATCAGCAGCAATACCAGCAGAAAAATGCTGGCCCCCTCCTGTCCATGCAGTAAAGACTCTCCTCTTTCCTTGACGGTCATGTAGCTTGCAACAGCACCATGCCCAATTCACAGTGCGCACCTGCTCTCCTTCATGCAAAGGCATGAAAGACTCCCTTTTCCCCAGAGATAATGGCTTGGAACTTTGACTTTCGCAACACCATATCGCTGATTCCCAGCCAAGTCCAAGAAATATCTCATCGAGTCTCAATCTGTATCTTCCAGGCCACATATTCAACGCTTTGGCTCGCGCCCGGCACCCACTGTCCCGGGATATACCAGTTTGTCTTTCCAGGTCTTTATACAGATCCACTAACACACACGCGGCACCTTCACCAACCCTCGAAAACAATTTCGGCAAAAGGCAAAGAGGCAGACCAATCAATCCCACGCCTGAACCCCTTCTCTTTCACCACGCAGCCACGGCATAACTTAAACTTACCATTTTCCAATAAAATCAAAGTGAGAGCACCCGCTCTGACGAACGAATGTAGTGTTGGAACAGGGATAGGATAAGGGAAAACGGTGCGTTGCTTCCGAGTGATTTACACTCCGTCGGTCGATTGGATTGCGTTTAGAAGCCGTAGAGCGCGAGTTCAGCACGACCGCATGCTATTCGAAGGTCAAGCGCGGATGGAGGGGCGGACGACTTTTGTGTGTCTCGTTGGCGATCGAGAGCACAGCAGCGCAGCTGTTCGTAGAGTTATTGGGGACCGGGAAATCAATTCGGCGGGAAGAGTTTCGTGGTCGAAGAGTCGGGAGTTGTTATGTGGCTGTGGTTTTGCACTGCCAGTGGTACTGGATTGCGGTGTTGATCGATCTGGCATCAACGCACTGCAGCGCGGCGAGATGGAGCGGCGCGGTGACCTTGCAGTGGTGGTCTTTCTGCCCGGCGCACTGGCAGTTTGACACGCATCACGTGATTGAGAGGCCGATCTTATCTTATCTGTTCATACAGCCCCTGAAACCTCCTTACAAGACCTTTTATTACTACACATTCATCAGTCCCTCCCTGCACCTACATACTGCACTGGACGTACGTACATGTAGGTGCTAGGCAGTTATCTGGTAGCTTGGGAGACAGAACTACACTGGCACTACTGCCGACGAGGATACAAAGTACAAGTACACCGACCCTAGAACCCAAATCCTCACCTTCCACGTTCTCCGCCTCGCAATCGAACACTGGCAAAAGACCAAACCCAAACCCAACGCACAAAGGACCCAACAAACGCTTTGCTTTCTTACCCGGATATCTGAACTGCCTGGTTGCAGTGGTCAGATCTGACTGACAGATGGGTCTGATTTGGATATTCAGCCAAACGAAACAGGCACAACAACATTCGACCACATCTTTTGCACTATGGGCGGCAAGGCTGTCACCTTTTCACCTACATTCCCTCGCTCCTGCGCCTGGGTTTCTCCTTTTTGTCTTTTGCAATGTCCATTGGTTGTGTTCAATGAAGTAAGTGCAGTGAACGAAGACCAAAACATCCAACACGAAACAAGAACAGGTTGGTTCGAGTACTCCTACATCCGGCTCATGTTGATTCAATCGATTCAGTGGAGCAGCCCAGCCCGTTCTCAAGACTCATGATCCCAACAGAAAATGCAATGCCGCGCCGCCATAACCCTAGACCATTTGCTGTCCCCATCACACCCGTAACCTGGTTATGCATTTGATACAGTACAGTACAACAGGAAAAAAAGCGAGTTCCTGGAGTGATGACATGAACCGAACCCGCGTTGACACAAAGAAAAAAGAGGATGCATGAGAAGAAAGAACTGTAAAACAGCCGATTGAGTCTGTCTGTCCCTCGTCAATGGTTTCGGTCCAAATTTCATCTTCCGAGTGGAACAGTGCCTCGGTGCAGACCCGCCGCCCAGGCGGGGAGTTTCTTGTCCCGCTCATAGATCAGGCCGCAATTGTTGCATAGAGTCTAGAGATACAATTGTCAGCAGGAACACAACATATCCACTAGATTGTAGCAAGGGGCCCCATTTCAGGGGGATAATGCGGGAAAAAGTGCAAACTCACCCTAGGTCCAAGCGGCCCGTCTCGAACCGCCCATACCGCATTGCCTGGGATCAGACAATGTCGACATCTCCAGTTCTGCCTCTCATACTCTTGTAGTCGATTCCCTTCGCCTCCCCAACCGGACCCGGCCGAACTGCCACCTCCTTCGGGAGTCTGAGCCTTGGAGTCTGGACTGATGGACCGGAACCGCCGTTTTCTTCTGTTTCGTTCACCACGTCCCATTGACGGCGTCTCTTCGCCATTCATGCTAACCGAAATGTAATCGAAGTAGCTGCCGCGCTGCTGGGCCTCCTGCTCACGGGCACTGGGTACCATTCCTGCCGTGGAACTGAACTTGGCCGTCTCGCGACGCAGCCGTCTCAGCTGTCGTTCTCGATCGCCCTCTCTCTTTTCAATCTCCTCTTTACTCAGGGCCTCGAACTTCGGTTCCCACTCAGCTCCAAAATCGTCAATGTCGTACCGCCAGCCCGCCCCTTCCTCCGGACGAACGGCCTGGTTGTCCAAGTCACCACCGCCCCAGGCGCTACCTCCCATCATCAACATGCCGCCCTCACAAGCTTCCTTCTTCAACCTCAAGACAGCTTCATAAATCGCGTGCGTAATGGCCATCACCCACTCCCCACCCAACCCCATGTCTGCACACGTTTGCTTGGCAAACGCTTCCGCGGCTCCAGGTGGATGTAATAACGACCATTCGAACTTGTCTTGGTACAGTTTGGATGAGAGGTAGATGGATAATGTGATGATGCAACGATAGGTGTCGTCCGGGTTGAGATATGGATCTTCCGCCGAGTCGTCGGCAGACTCGGGCACTTGCCGGTCCGGCGGTGGTAAGGGAGAAGCAGTCGCCGTAACAGCTGCGCCATTGCTCAAAGTTATTGGCCGAGGAGTAGACGGTGCCGGTGTCCCAGGAGTAGTTGAGCCGCGTCGAGATATCGATGCTCCAAGTAGAGGCCGGGGCGTCCCATCGCGAGAGCTTCCATTCGCCAACCCCGAAGGCGTCGGGGCATTGTTTGTGTCGGCCATCTGCGCGCGTTTCGGTTGTGTATGGAACAGTGGATGCATGGCCACACCGGCATAGTCTTCCAACTGCGTTCGAATCTGCTGGCTGATGTTCATGGCCAGCGCCACCTGGTTGGGTAAATCGAGTTCTCGGACAAAGTTGAGCGCAAAGTCGTCGGGAGTGAGCAGTTCTTCGTGGAGATTCCAGAGAAAGATGTCACGGATCTTGTAACCCGGCACCATTTCCGGTCTCTTGAACATCGGCAGAGAAGCATTGACACCCAGATCCACTCCATTTCGCGGCAGCGGGAACGGCGCCTCGGGCTGATGCGGAGGAACATCGACATCTATTCGTATGGGAATAAGGGTAAGAGGAAGTTGGGCTTGCACATAGGTTTGCGCGTCGGTGCTGTTTGAGGCACTCAGCGGGTTAGCATCCGTATAGAGAGAGCCTCTGGGATTGGGGAATATGACATACGTAGGGCGTGCCGTCCGCCTGATGATCCAGTCTCTGTATATCGGTTGCAAATCCACCGGCGCATGTATCTCCTTGCCCACCTTTTCGTTTTGCGGGTCCTTCTTCTCTAATTCCTCTCTCCGCAGCGATCGCAAACCGGTCGGTCGTCTGACCCCTTCACTGTCGTCAAAGTCATCTTCATCGTAAGCATCGTCCGCGTAGTTGATTATCGTGGTTCCTCTTTTGGTGGTGCGACTGCTCGGGGCGACATTCTGCGTTTGGACGACTGGTTGGAGTAGGGTGTTGGCGTATTGACGAATCCGCGGAGCATAGCTGGTGACAAAGGATTGCGCGGTAGCCATGATGCGGTAAAGAAACCCTATATCACCATGGCAGAGTCGATGCGCGCACACAATAGTAAACGGTTCAGTTGTAGTGTTTATGCGTGATTGCTCGTTGCTTTTGGTAAACGCGGTCTTAATCTGTTTGTATCGTGGATGCGCAGGTCGAGTCTGGAACGACGTGAAATTGTTCGCTGCGCGACTCGCCCTGCAGAACCGTTCAAGTTGCGCCCCGCCAAGCCAAATGCGTGAGTCTTACGTAAGCCTCAGCCTTGTCGGCCACCCACCAAATACGGACCAGGCTGTCGATGGGTTACTCCTTGTCTACTAGTACTAGTAGGTAGGCAGCCTGCCACCCTGCGGATGAAATGGTCAATCTGGTCACTGGTACACATGGAAGAAATCCCTCCTCGTCCTGCTATAAATACGAGTCCACGGGTAATACTAGTCTTCTGTATTATTGTGTCTTTAACCGTATAGAAACGGCTTGTGGCCCTATAATCTTCTGTCCAGTTGAATCCCTGTCAATCACACCAAGACTCCTGAACAATGCTGGTTGCTGGATATTACATAAGGGATGTTGTATAACACGACCGGTGTGTTGGAAAAGAATGAGCGCGAACCCTCGCATCATCGCAGGCCAATAACACTCTATGTCAAGGATTAGCAGAACTCCCCATAGCAGCGACCAGATATGCTTACCATTTCAAGAGTCCACACTCTTCGAATCCATACTTTGACCTTGCCTTGCACCCCTTCAACATCCTCCAACTCAACACCTTCCCACCAGCACCTTCGGGCAGGCTTTCGCCAAAACAGCAACAGTTTTTGGGCCATCCCGACGGCGTTGCTGCCAGCAATGTCTCCTTTGATGTCGGTGCGTAGGCGAGCTAGAGCCAAACTGCATATAACGGCTTTGTTCGGTTCACCTGCTCGATGACCCCAGGTGTCGTCATGATCAAACCCACTGTACTCGATTAGCAAGTGTACACAACAACCATCAGTGCGCTCAACATACCCTGCAGTCAACATTTCAATCAAATGCTGCTCTGTCGTTCCGACCTCTTCGCTTCTCTTAAGGCCGGAAAAGATGCCGTTTTGTTTAAGCAAACATCGACCCGCGGCTCGTTTGACCTCGGTCATTTCCAGCGCTTCGATGTCTGGTCGAGGTGGGATGACATAGAAGTCGAGATCCTCTCTAAGAACGATGATCCCCGCTCTGTCCTGAAGCATGTCTTTGGTAGACCCTTGTAAAGGCTCGATGGTCATAGGATCGTTCTCCGGCGGCGTAGTTGGCGAGGGCGATGCTGAGGGAATTGATTGCGCGACTTCCCGGAAGAAGTTTAACATATATTGAAGGGAATCTGGGTTATACTGCGAAGAAAATGTTACATCTCCGATATAAATACTAGAATTGCCCAAAACAGAAATCACATGGGGTGGTGCAAGACATACGTCGACTGGGTAGACATCGCCGTCATGGAATGCATTCATGTGTCCATCCGGAAGAAGGCCGTTGGGGAATAATGATAATAATACGAATTCGGGAAGCGTCAGCAACTCATCCCGGGACAGCGTAAATTGTGTTCCTCTGCATGCCAGTCAGCCTGGTCAGTTTTGTCAGTAGAGCGGGCGCACCTCAAATCCAATGTGATATGTTCATCGGCCGTGGCCTCTCCTGCAGCAGAGACAGTCAGCATAACATGTTCCGATCCATTTTTGATGTCCGCAGCATACCTCCCAATGTATTGATCGGTGGACCCGCTGTCTGCTGCACTTGGGTAATGATACTGGCAGCACCGCCGGCGGCCGCCATGACGTAGGTAAATGAGTCTATCGGACTCGAACCCTCAGTGTAAGGAGGAGGCGGTTCTCCTTCGTCGGTTGCCTTGGAAGACTGGGCCTTTGTGTCCTGCGGAAGGGCGGCCTTGGTCTCAGCCTCAGCCTTGGACTGGGCGTCGTCTTCGGCAAGAGCCTCCTCAAAGGAGGGTGCCGGAACTGTGGCTAGGAGTGACTCGCAGGAAGTCTCGGCAATTGTGGCTCTGATGCTATCAAGCTCTGCGGCGGTAGGGAAGTATAGAGAGGAAAATGGAGGCGGGCGCTGTGAAGGCGCACTGAAGGAAGATGGCTCGGAGGTTGGAGTCTGGGGAGGAGGGACGATGTATTCCTTGTCGTCAGAAGGATCGACAGAATCGTAGGTCGACAACGCCGTGGTGGGCAACTTTTGAGCCAAAGAATGGTAACCAGACACCTGGTTCAATTCGAGGGTGCCACGGCACTGGGACAAAGCGCGACAGCGACACGGTGGCGCTCTCGCTGCGGCATTCGAATAAAGGGTCGGCGTCGCTGTAGGAGCAGTGAAGGGGGCGCTGTACAGGTGATGGAAGCCGTTGAATAGGGAGACGTGGATTGATCTAGTTGTGCGAGTGTTGTAGTTTGGGTATTGATTTGAAGGGGCGGGATGGTTGAGATGGTCGAGTCCAACTTAAGTTGGGTTGGAAGTTGCAGTTGGAGTAGCGCCGTGGGATGAGAGATGACCAGATCGGAGCCAGATGCCACTGACACTGGCAGCAGTTTGACACCAGCCACTTCACGGGGCTCCTTAGGCCTAAGGAGCCATTGCGCACTAGGTACCCTATTTAGGGCCTGGGCTTCTAGCTACGATACCTATAAGCTCAACTGGTTCGGCCGCCGTAGTAGGCGGCTCCCGCGCCTGGAGCCGGTTCAACTACCTAGGTAGGTACAGAGTGTGGTGCTGCTGCACGCCACTCTTCCAAGCTTCCAGTCCCGCCATGCACCCGCACACTGCAGTCGTTGACAGTGGCTGGGATCCTCCTACAACTAGCTTCATGGTTCCTCGACCCGCTATGCATCAACAAGAGATCAAAGGAACGGTGATATTATTTATTGGCCTGTTCAAGCCCTGCCGCTGATGATGATGATTATAATAAAATGCTCATGTCGTGGGTAAGGTAAGGTAGTCGTACAATCATTAACCATGCACGCCAATGCCGCTCAGTTCAAGTTGCCCTCCATCACCATCTTGCTCTGGTTTCCACTCCTCCTCAGGCCGCTCATTCACAAGCCATTTCCACCGGGGTGTATCTTCCTTCCCCTGCTGCTGTCTTCTCATTTGCCAGCAATACCCCCTGAACAACGAATGGAATGCTGTCCGGATTCATGCCTTGGGAGGTATCTCTCCCGTTCCTTGACTTGGAGTCAATGTCTCCCCGCCTGAGCCAGGAGCAGCACTGCTATTTCCACCATGTTGGATGCCCGCTGTGGTGGATTGCGCATTGCCTTTGTCAGAGACTCCGGCCACGCTGCCTTTGTTTGCCGATCCAGTATGTCCGCTCGTGCCAATGATTCCTGACCCGGCGCCGGCGCCCGGTGTGCTCGAGGGTCGTTTCCCTTCGAGACCGAAGAGGGCAGAGTGAGAATCGGGTGCGACTCCTTTGTCAGACATGTCGGTATGGAGAGTGGGGATAGTGCTCGGCGGTAGTATCTCGTGCGTAGGTAGGGTTGGCTGTAGGATGCAGTGGTCGATGCTTGCCCTTTGGTTCGTACGACAAGACGATAGGCTCAGTGACTATTGACTGTGAGAATTCTTCTGCTGTATTACGTTTCAGTTGCGTAGAACGACGGAGTATCCGTTGGAGAATGCTACATGTGGTGGGTTGGTCGTCTTATTTAGTAGTATCTGTGCTGCGGTGCGAGAGTGAACTGAATGCGGTGGAAGGATGACTTCACGTAGGACAAGAAGGCACTGACGACAACGCAGCGACGATAAGAGGGGCTCGAACTTTCACTGCCATCACAGGAAACGACTCGAACTCAAACGGTTGACGAATCCTGGGTCTTGTCATACGACTGCCGAGAAGCAGCTACATCAATCCCTGCATTTCTTGTTCCTGGATTCGCGGAAAGATTGTATTCGCCGGCAACATCCAAGTGGCTGTGCGAAGATAAGAGGTGCGTAGAATGCTCGGCAAGTGCGGATTAAATCCTGTAGATATACCAAGATCGTCCATAGACGTCTGCTAATTTCCAAGGCCAACGTACTGGGATGCTTTGCTACCTGAGGTACAGGTATTGGACTATCAAAAGGATCCCGAGCTTATGGTCCTTGAGGCGACACCTGTATCTCAGTTACGCGTTCTGCTTCATGCCTCTATCGTCGACCTAGGCGTTCAGGATCTTTTCGTCTTAAAGTGTAACAGAAACAAGTTACCTCTCGATTATGTCTTTCGTCAAGTCTCTCGACTGAATAGTTTCAGTGCATTCTTGCTGCAGAGCTTCTCACGATCCTCCGGGTCAGGGAACACCTCCGGTAGATACTGATCATGCTCCTGCGACAGCGGAGTGACTACTGTCAGGGGCGTAAAGGGAAAATCACTCCCATACAACATCCTGTCGACAGTGACGTACTCCAATAAGCCTTTGATTTGTTCAGGGAACGCCCAGCCCGCGGTATCAAAGTAAAACTGCTGGTTCAATCGCTCTTTGATCCATGTCGGCGTCACCTTGGGATCCATCCCCGGGAGACTCAAGGCTAAGCCCACATTTGCAAATCGGTTGATCAATGGTGGAAACGCACCACCCACGTGAGGCACGAGGAACGTGACGTTCGGACAGCGACTGACTGTGCCCGACATGAAGAGATTGATGACAGCACGAGCAGTGTCGAACAGAAATTCGAACATGGGTCTGGGATATTCCGGGAGAGGTGTCGCTGCTGGTCCACTGTGAGGCAAGCAGGGAGTGGTTGGGTGCATGAAAACAATGGCTTTCCGGCGATTGAGCTCGTCGAAGATGGGGTCAAAGTCTTTATGTCCAAGGTACGAACCCTGGAAGTTGGTCATGACCACGAATCCATCGGCGTTGAGGTGATCCAACGCATAGGGAATTTCTTCCAAGCTGCCCTCGATGTCGGCCAGAGGCAGGGAAGCAAACAAGCCGAATTTATCAGGCTTCCTTTTCTTCAGGCTCCCGCCATAGTCATTGACATACCGCGTCAATTCGCGACTGAGTGCGTTCTCGCCTGGCTTGAGGTAGGTGCCGGGCGAGCTGACGCTAAGCATGGATTTGGTCACATTGATAGTCTGCATCATTTCGAGATGGCCCTCTTCGCTCCATGGCTGAACCTGGATTAGCAGCGAACACGCCCCAGTGACAAATACTGTCCGGCTTACTGGGATTGCCGGGATTCCATCGGGCTGCTTGTGGCCATGTTCTGCCAGTGCCTCACGGTATCCCCTGTGGCCCGTCAGCCGAATGCATGCAGTGCCAAAAGGAGCACTGACGGTGGGAGATAGTGGGAATGACAATCGATTTTCGGATATGGAGACATGTCGAGCCAGCAAGGTGCGGAACTCGCAATGGTCAAATATGAAAGACAGAAGGTGTTTCGAGAGTGGTGGGGATATTTATGCTGGTCGTAAACAAGCATGCCCCGAGATGAAGATATACCTGCCAGTGGTATCTGCCCGATGTAGCCGCGGGGCGCATGCGGAGTGAAGATCGATGGGCGTCAACGCTGGTTGGCGGACGCAATGCAGGAGCAGTGAAACAGCCTGGGAGGTTCAAGTTGTCCGGGGACGCGCTTGTACTAGGATCGGATGCCGTGCAATGTCCGACCAGCATCGGCAGTGTCGCTGCCAGTGTGGTCCTGAAGTGTGGCCTGCCAGTTCAGGGTGTTTCAATTGTCTTATTTTGTTGCGCTTTCCGTTCCGATCGCCGACATGAGCAATTCCGTGTGCGACTTATGTTCGGATCCCACCTGAGGTCAGGGAGCGGCGCACACTGCATGCGACGGGACTGTGGGTTCTCGTGAGACCGTGTGAAAAATAGTCTCGTCCCTTCCCCTCTTGGACGAGGCTGCGTGTATAGGGGGCCAACATGGCGGAGTGGAGCGCAAGGCTGCGGGGACTGATATACTACTGGACTTGGGAAATCGACCTACCTACTCAGGAATAACAACAAGACACCAGGACCATGAGAACCTCTCTTTGCTGAGACGTCTGCTATGCGTTTGGAGAGAGGAGGATAGCATGCCCAACACGGCCATTTCCGAGCTTAAACGTTCTCCATTTCGTGCCATGCATCATGATTTCCATATCATTTTCGCTGTCTGAAGAGCAATTGGCACAGTAACATGTGCTCCGAAGCTAAGCCCAGCTGCCAGTAGCATCCGCACAATCTGATGATCAGCCCTTCTTCTTGTCCTTCTTTTTCCTCCCTGCAGCCGCACCGGCACCGGAGTCGCCTCCGCCCAGCATCCCACCCAATCCAGGCATACCACCCATACCACCCAGACCACCCATGCTACTCATCATATTCTGCAAAGCAGCCATATCAGGCATGCCACCACCGCCCGGACCACCAGGTCCACCGGCGGGTAATTGACCCTGACTCTGGGCCTGACGGATCTCCTCCATTGCTTCCTTGAAGAAATCATCTTTGACTCCACCTCCACTAACGGCAGGCGAATGCACCGGCAGAATCGTACCCATTTTCCAACCCCGCGGGACCGGTATGGGCTCCTTTCCGAAATTCTCCGGAACAGGCAGACCCGGAATCTTCAATTGCAGCGGATCAGTCGGTTTTGTCGGATGTGCTTTTAACCACCGTCCGATCAGCGTGTACAGATGCGCCTTGTTCTTTATCTGCGGATGAATGGGCTCTTTTGTTTCTGGGTGGAACATCTCAATTCGTATCCGACCCGGGTTCGCCCAGTCCTTAGGGTGTGTCTTGTCCGGCTCGAATGCTATCCGGGGCAATGGTGCAGTCTCCACGAACACGGCCTTGACCGCCTCGAGAAGATTGATGGCTAGAGGATTGGCGATCGCTAGCGATGAGTTCACGCGTCTTCCTTCTGATTTTGTCCGCGTGGCGTCAAAATAGACTGGGTATAGTGTCTGGAAGGACTTGATGTGTTCGCGAGTCTGCGGTTGTTGGAAATGTTGGGACGACGAGGGAGGAGGAGGACGAAAGAGGGTTGGGTTGGGACCGGAGGAAGAGGATGAGGCTGGTTCTGGTTCAGGCGATGAAGATGAGGATTGCGAAGCCGGCCGCATCACTTGAGTGTCGGACTGGGGGAGGTAGTTGGAGGGGTCGTCAATGTCAGGGTCTGAGTCCGACAGTTCTTCGACCCGGGCGTGCGACATTTTGAATTACTGTGCTGAGTTAGGCTGCCTATACGTTGGGTAGTGGCGCCTCTCAGGACTGTGAGGTTTGTGAGTAGGCCTGTAGTACCGGGTGAAGAAAATATTTCGAAGCGCGAGTCAAAGGGTTATGACATTAAACCAAAGTGTACTGTCGTGCAATGCGGAACGAACTTCAAGTTGAACTTGAATGCCAGCGTGGGGTGCTTGGCTCTGATTCGTCAATTGAACCTTGGCACAGCCTTGCGAAGAAATGTCCAGGCCAGTTCAGCCTTGTCACTCAGCCCCGCCAATTTAGCCAGCCTCGTTTGTTCCATGAAAGGGAGAGTCCTCGTACAGTCCTGAGAGCAATTAACCCATGATAATTGCTTGGATTTCGAGATTGCTAGCGATCCTCTTGGCTTTCTCTGCAGCAGATGACGCTCGCTTCCTTGACGACAAATCAAGTAATCTCTCATGTAGCTTTTCTCCGGCTGTCTAGCAGCTGCCCATTTTCAATGGCGCTCTTACCAGGGGCTAAGCTTACTGTTTTACTCTCTTACAGGCTGTGATGTTTGGGCAAGTGACCGGAATACAACAAGACGCTCAATTCTTCTTTTTGAACAAGAAAGGTACTAGATGTGACATGGCGTTTCATTGTCCTCGACTGCATATGGAAGGTACGTATTCAATGCTGCGAACCGGTGTACCGTCTCCAATCATGAACCAAACACTATTGAGTCCCCTCCAGTTGCCATCTACAAGACGGCAGCAACACCGGCGGCCACAGCACCAGCAAACAGCAAACCATTCTTGACAACATTAGAGTCGGCGCTGTTCCCAGATGTGGATGAGCTGGCGCCCGACGCGGTGGCAGTGGCGCTTCCTGAGCTGGAACCCGACCCAGTTGCGCTGCTGCCGCTGCCTGAAGACCCACTGCTGCTGCTACCGCTGCTGCCACTGGTGCTATTGCTAGCGGCGCCAAAGACACCTCCTTGCACGATACTTGGAGATGAGCCTTGCGCGTTCTTGGCTGCAGTCTTGTATGCGTCGAGAGTCTTTGCATTGTTCCTATAAAGTGACAAAATCAGAAGTTATTCGCAACAGGATGAAGACGGTGCAATTTGGCGGGGATGAGGGCTATCAGGGCGTAACTTACGGCTGGTTCACGACCATAGCCATTCCACCTTCGCAATGGCCTTTGGCCGAGCAGTAGAGCCAAAGAGGATCGGTACTGTTGACTTGAATGCGCCAGAGGTCGCCGTCATTGGGGAAGCCCGAGTAGACCCCGGCACCATTGCTCAGGGGCACACAAGGCTTGTCGAATGTGCTTTGTGCGACGGAGTGACCGGACCCAAAGGTGAATTCGATCCAATCGCCTTTGGCAGCCGTGACAGTGTCGGGTGTGAACTTCAGGCCTGGACCAACCATGACCGAATGAATCCCGGATGATGAGGATGAGGAAGAGGAGCCTGAGGAGGAAGCGGAGGAAGAGGCGGTGGCTGTCATGGACGAGTCGGAGCCTGAATCTCCATATTGTGGAGAGCCGAGGACAGACGTGGCCAGCACGGAGAGCACAAGGCTTGTGGAGGAGAATATTGAATGCATGGTTATATTTGGGTGAAGAATGTAAGTTGGTGTGAGGAGTATGCAACGGGTAGGAAACAGGACGTTATAACTTGGGTATCAAGAAAAGAGACAAAAAGACAAGTAGAATGGAGTCCAGCTTCCTATAGTTCGGTTGATGAGAATGTGAGAATGGAGTGTACCGAAGATTCCCTCCATCAGCAATCATGTCAGCTTATATATCCTATGGTATGTGCTGGATCAAGGGGTTAAGGAGTCCAGAACAATATATCTGTTCATGTTAGCCATACGAAAGACGTTTGAGCATCTGGTTCTATCACAAGGTCAGGAGCAAGCCAGGAGCTCGAGGCTGAGTATTCTGGCATGCCTTCCCTTGGCTGGGGAAGCGTTCGAGACTCGTCACGTTTGACATCCGGGTGAGGAAGGGTAATGCTGGCAGGGAGGCGTGGACCTTGACAAGCCAAGGAGCGTAGCTTGCCGCGCAAATTGTCCGGTGAGGCTGGAGTTGGACAATCAGGGGCTTACTCGTTTCTTGTTGTAGAAAAAGGGTGGAAGTGGCTGAGGCGACGAAACGGATTGGAAACACAAGCCCCTGGATGAATCACATTATATTTTGTTGACCGGGGTAAGCAGGGCGGCATTCTTGCGGAAAAATAGCTTTCCCGGTTGCGGCGTTTGCCCAGATACAAGTTTCCATTCTCACTTGAAAGAAGAGTACCTAAGTAGGTAGGCACCGGGTACCAGTGACTTTTGAGTCCATATTATGCGAATGTGATGCAGGTACAGATACCGGAATGGCCACTGTCGGGACGAGGACGTTGCGACACTCAGTGCTCTCCACGGAAAGGATGTCGGTACCTACCTAAGTAGATCGTTGAGGAGACAGTGCGCTTAGTATGGTACCACCATAAGCGCTTGCTGCCATCATGGACAACTTCGCTCCTTGTTCGACAAATTCGAGCATTTTATGCCACTCAAACGGCACATGTCGTACCTAGGAACGATGGATGGTAACTGCAATGCCGTGAGTCTGTGCTCTTCGAGCTTCATGGCTGAGCAGGCACCCAAGGATCCGCAGTATCTCTAGTCCGGAGATTCGGAAATATACAAACTCCGAGCTGACCCGAAGTTCAAACACGCGGCGATATTTCAAAGCATATAGCGAAGCGCCCTCACACGACAACCTGAGCCCTTCTATGCCCGGCCATCCACGCCGGTGGAACTACAGCAAATGCTCCTCTCCCCTCAATGAATTCTTCTGATTCTGAGAGCGAGCCACGGATGGCCGGAGAAACCCGGAAACGTATCCTCAAAGCCAACAAGGCGTGTGCGCCCTGCCGTGCCCGCAAGGTCAAGTGCGATGCCGCCGTGGTTGGCCTCCCATGCAGTAGTTGTATCAGCAGGCAGTGTGCCAACGACTGTGTCCTGCATGTTCGTAAGGCTCGAACTAGGTGAGTCGATTCATTGACATCGGGCTGGTTCATGATCCCGATTCATTTGGTGCTTGCTGACATAGATGGGGGTTGTAGGAAAAGAATACATGTCTCACCAACTCCTAACCATGTATGAATATCCTATGCTTTGGACGATTAACATTGTTTTGTCCCACCTACTTCTTCTCCAATTCTGCTTCTCCTCAGGCTCTTGAGACAGGTAGACGATCCTTCAGAATTCCCCCTAACCATTGCCAGACTACAGGAGTTCTGGCTACACCCAACAGTAGCCAGCTAGACAATCTCCGTCAATCTAGCCCGCCAAGCCGGTCAAAACAGCCACAACAATCGAATCGAGCTTCTCCCGCGGGTCCCCTTGACTGCCAAACCCCAGGGCAGACCGGGGCAGATTTGCTCTACCTCAATATCCTAAACGACGCCGTGAAAGACGCCACAGAATCCAGTCGACACCACACCTCTTCCAGCACCCCTTGTGGTTCAATGCCAGAAGACAGCTCAATGCCCCAGAACTGTTTGTGGACTAGGCCAACCGAATTGGATGACATTGACAATGAATATCTTCTCAAGAAGGGTGTCTTTGATCTACCTCCTCGGTACCACTTGTGAGTTAATTATGAATCCCCATTCCACCCTTTTCGTTCGGTTTTGTATCCGCTCTACTGAGCGAAAATTTCCCTAGGGATGCTCTCGTTAAGACATACTTTGACCACGTCCACCCTTTTGCTCCCTTAATCAACAGAGCTGATTTCATCCGCCGCTATCAATCCGGCAACTGTTCCTTGTTCCTGCTCCACGTCATATTGACTCCAGCCAGCCTCCATGCGCCAGCAGATGTGCTATCCGCCTGTGGCTTCGCCAGTCGCTCGGCCGCGCAAGAGTCATTCTTCTCCAAGGCCAAGCTTCTCCACGACTTCGGCGCAAAAGATGACCCGTTGTTAATGCTGCAAGGATCTATCATTTTGTCAATGGTGATACTCGACCATCCCACCGACCGGGACTTTGGCTATTGGTTCCACAACGCCGTCCGTCTTGCCACTAAGCTTGACCTACGCAATGTCTGTGTTAGAGAAGACAAGCCTGACAAAGTCTTAAAGTTGTACAGAAGGATCTGGTGGACTCTGTACTCTATAGACATTTTCCACGTCTTTGTCAATACCCGACACTCCCGATTGCTCGAAAATACGCCCACGATCAAGCCTAGGACGGAAGATGACTGGGAAGCGGAGGATCTTTCGGGAGCATTATCTGACTTGCTATCAAAGGTTACGCCTCAGCAAAAAGCGTTGCCGGTTGTCCACTGCGAGTTGTCTCGAATCTTTGGACAGTGTTTATCCATTGTGACAAACCAGCCGCAGCAAGACCCTCGCCAAATGATGCAGCCACTGGATAAATGGCGCGAGTCTCTCGCTGCCAAGATGCACCTAAGTGGAAACACTGGAACTGACATTTACTATCTGAACATACAAGCCATGAGCTACAGATTTGAGTGTATCCTGTGTCGGCTGATACGACGCTGTTTCCAGCAGTCCGGTCGTACGGAGTGGAGCGAGTGGGCCAAACAGCGGCTGCGGACCGCTATTCTGGAGTTGGACACGATTGCCATGAGGATTTTGGCGAGTGGTACTCTTCAGGACTTTCCCGTCCCTTTCGTAACCACAATGACTGCACTGCTGGCTCTACATATCGAATCAGCCCTCGATACAGCCGAGACAGATCTTGTCCGATCCATGGCTCGGATATCCATCAGCCAGGCAATGCTTCTTCTCACCCAGGGAAAAGAAATACCCGCGCTGAAAAGAGCTCTGCCGGTGTTTGAGGAGATTCTTGCCAAGAACAATCTGTACATGGTTCCGAGTCCGCCCAATACTCTCAATCATGTTCAGGTATCTGCGTCGTCGCAGCCACATAGCAGCAGCATGACAGATGCGTGTGGCTCGACGCACACGCAGAGCAGCGTAATTCCGCCTCAGTTGGAGCAGCCCGAGAACAATAATCCGTTCTTCGATGTGGACTTCTTGGGATTCGATTTCTTGGACGACTGGCAGATTGGGCAAGTGGATTTTACTGGATGATCTTCAAAACGGTTTCCTCTGAACGGTAGCTTCAAGCCACATCGAATCTAGGACAATATCGGGATCTATCAGTACATGCAGGGAAGTTGTCGATTCATCCTTTCGCCAAATCTATGCAGCCACTTTTGTCCCGTTTGGTTCACCTGCAGTCATCACGGCGTGGTGGCGATGCACTATCTCCAGCATCTTTGCTGCTTCGGAAGTATACTTGCACTTGGTGCGTATCCGCCGACCATACTTGTGGAACAGAAATGGGAAAGGCAGGCACCCAAGCGCCAGGAATGCCGGAATGGAGCTCGCCCATTGATCTCCAAGGTTGTCGTACATTTGGGTGGTAAATAGGGGAAATGCTGTCGCGAACAAGGACCGAAGCACCGAGTTGGCCGCCAGCACCGAAGCAGCATAGATGACATCTGGACACAGGTAAGCATTAACATATCGTTGCAGAATATCACGAAACAAGGATCGAAACGTACAAGAATCAACCAGATAGCCTATCAGCGAGATGAAGACCATGACCAGTCCACAGGAAAAGAGCATGCCACCGATAACTGGCACGATCCAGTGCACCGATGGATACGTCGTCCACGCAAACAGAAACAAACCTATCGGAAGGACAATGGAGCCTACCATGGCCGATCCCAATCTGGCTTCTGGCTCGACTGAGCGTCCCTCCGCCTCGGCCTCTGCACATAGGCTCTCATAGCGCTTGCTGTCCACGCCAGCCCCCAGCATGGCAAGAAAGACACCAATGGCAACGCCAACAAACGGAAGCCCAGCGATGCCTTGGCTCCAGCCTCGAGTGACTTGGAAGACGATGGGAAAGCCGGCAAAGAACATGTACAATGTGCCATAGATGATGGAGATGTATATCGACGTCAGCAAGACAAGTGGTTCGCTGAACATCAAAATCCAGGGACGCGTGAAAGTGACGGAGAGCTCCTGAGAGACCGTTTTGGGCGGCTGTGCCGCATCCAGGCGGGACATGTATACGTCTCCTGTCATGCGGGAAAGGGCCTTGGCTCGACGTCGCAAGATGAACGGCGCGTATGTTTCACGGGTGACCAGCGCCGTGGCAATGCCGACCACACCGCCCAGTATGGCGACCAATCCGAGGATCCAGCGCCAGCCCTGGGTTTCGTTGAGAAACCCACCGACAATGGGTCCTGCACAGGGGTAAAAATCAGCAAGGTACCGGGAACAACAAATGGCAAGCACATAGCATGGAAGAAAGCACACGAACAACTTGAAAACTGGGACATACCAAACGCAGGCCCCAGAAAGCAAGCCGCAACAAATAACCCCATCGGCAACCCGCGCTCCGCCTTGCTGAACATATCGGCAACGACACCGCCGTTATTCGTCATGGACGACGATCCGAACGCGCTCGCAAAAAACCGAAGAATCAGCAAGGCTGTGATGTTGTCCACACACGCCGCTGCCACACTGAAGGCCGTATACGCCGTGTACGATATGACGTACACAGATTTGCGCCCATATACCTCGGACAGAGGTGCCCAGATCAGCGGGCCAAGGGCGAACCCTAACACAAATAGCGACAAGCCCAGCGTAGCCACCTCGTTGGACACGTCGAAGTGCTGCATGACTCCTGGGATGCCACTGGCGTACACTGAGCTGGCAAAGGTCACTGCGAATGTTGACAGCGACTGGAGAACCGCAATGGCCCATTTTCGTCCCTTGGAGGAATTCAAGGCGTCGAGTCGGTCGTGGTCTAGGTATTCGACGATATAAGGGTTTTCAGTCGTGCCGCGGCCGGTGGAACTGTCGTTGCAGACATCGACATCGTCGAGGTCAGTGCCGGGGAGGATCAGGGATCGGATACGGGATATGTGTCGGGACGAGTTGTGCACTCGTTCAGGGGCGTTCTTATTCGAGACAGCGGGCTCGGAAACTTGTAAGACGGTCATGATGGCTGCGAACGGGGCGTGGAGAACAGGAAGAATAACGAGGGAACTTTCTCATGCTTGGACATGTTACCTTACCACAGTGAGTGAGTAGAAGAGCGGTTATATACCTGTAATACATATCTATCGGCAATATGGGATTTCGGAGTTTCAGCGTGGCAGAACAGTATTCAGTATTTGCGAGAAGCAGGGGGTAAAGCCCGCGGCATTATCTACCTTTCGGAAACATAATCTTCGAATTGGGGGTGCCGCTGGTGCCGCGGAAATAACCTTTGTCCCTTGAAGTCGAAGATACACCGAGAGAATGCCTCGATGCTCATCGTTTTGTGAGATTGTAGTGCCCTGCGAGAGGTCTCGATGTCTTGTTCCGCAGTGTTGGTGTTTGTTCTACTCACTATTAGCTACGACTGTGCTGTTGCAGTGGGGCGCCAATTTTTAGTAAATCGCCTCAATTTGTTTCCAGATCAACCACGAGTCCACGACAACGGCCAAGGCCTCCCACGGCAGTACAGTAGTAGCAGTAGCAGCGAGCAGGCCGAATAAAAACATTGGCCTTTCCAGTGTTTGTCAATTGTGTAGTAGAAGCGTTAGGCAAACCTGTCCGTCTACAGCAATTATCGCCCTTGACTCAAAGGTATAGGAGCGTCGACAACTAGCATTGCAGCAATTGTGTTCGTATCCGGAATATCCCCGTTTTCTCTAGCCAATGGTGTCCCAACAACAACATCCTTTCAAAGTCTATGTGAGATGGAGACCACTAAATACAACTGAGTCTGAATCATCCCTGCCGGAGATCGAGCGCAGTATCGGCCAGGACGAAGAAAAAGCAAACCACGGGCAATCGACATCGATATCACTTTCATCGCGTTCTACTTCCAATAGAGTGCGGACATGGAAGAGCGCAGCTTCATTCACAAAGGTGTTTCCCACAACCGCCATCAACAGGGAAGTATATGCGGACGTGGTGGCGCCCACGTTTCCTCACGTCATGGAAGGTGGAGGGACGTGCAATTTCTTTGCGTACGGCCATTCAGGTAGTGGTAAGACGCACACAATTTTGGGGTACGACTATGAAGACGACCGACATCTCGGACTGTGCCTTTTGACGGCACGCGAGTTGTTTCACGCAATCGACGAGCTCAGCAAGGACTCGGAGGAAATGACCCCAGGAGGAACGGAAGGACAGACTGAGTGTGTGGGAAAGGAGAAACTAGGCGTGGCAGTCCGGCTGTACGAAGTTCGCGGGAAATGCGCATACGACCTCCTCAACAACGGCACAGAATGTCATGTCCGCGAGGGTCCTGATGGCCAGACCCATATCCGTGGTCAAACGGAGATCCTGGAGGACGGAAAAGTCCGAGTTCGTCCAATCGTCGCGAGGCCATGTTGGTCGTTTGACGAGCTTCGCAAAGTCGTCTTGGATGGACTGCAAGAAAGAAAAACCGGGTCGTCTTCAATCCACGACAGAAGCTCGCGTACCCATGCTGTTCTCGAGCTCGAGGTCGTTAATGAGTTGTTGCTGGAGGCGCGCGACGCCGTTATCGAGCGCGAATCCGAGCTGGTGCCGTTCGGAAAGAAAGCGACGGATGTCTATTTGGAGGAAAATAAAAAGGCGTACATCCCATCGCCGGAAGGACGGTGGGTGCCGAACCCCGAGTATTCGGTAGACCAACAACGGATTGATGCGGCCGAGGCTGAGAAGGCGAAATACGAGGCAAGGTTGAGGGAAGCTGAGGATGCGGTTGCCGAATGTTTGAGGAGGCGTCAACATCCGTGTCTAGGAGGAAAATTTGTCTTTGTTGACCTTGCTGGATCTGAGTTTTTTGATCGCGCGGATGATGCGGTCAGAGGCGGACCGAAGCAGACTCCCCAGGAACGGCAGCAAGGGCGACAAATCAATTCAGACCTTTTCGCCCTGAAAGAGGTGATACGTGCTAGAGCGCTCGGTCAAGCACGTATCCCGTTCAGGTCTTCCCCATTGACAATGATCTTGCGCAGTCACTTTGTGGCCACCGCCACTGGCAAGGGACAGGGACAGTCTGCCATGATTCTGACCGTGTCTCCTGCTGAGCAGCAGTTCATAGCAACCATGAACACGCTGAAGTATGGTAACTTGGTTGGGGTTGCTGGTGAGACTAAGAAGAATTGATGCAAGGTTTAAGTTGTCGAGGAGTTGACCAGAGGCGTTTGATGTTGGCAACCAAGCGTTACTCATCTTTGCATCTGCTTGAGGTAGCCTTCAGGTTCGAGGGCTGGTGATTGATCCCATGAATTGACCCAGTTGGCTTCATTCCGTGAAGCGGTCTGTCTCTCGTCTGTTTTTCTGACATACATAGATGCATATCTCACCTGCGCTGCCGCTGATATCTCTCTCTGTGTGAATTCTCCTGCAGCCCTATCTGACCATCGCATCGGACGCCAAATATCTCATTCTGAAAGCACTAACAGGCTGGCTGCCGGAGAAAGAGTTGGAAGCCTTACTGGGGGCTGCTGTCAAGAACCCTTTCAGTCCGACCGATGATTACACAGCGGAAGATCCCCTCAAACACAACGAATACCCACGGGTGGACACCAGCTCGAAGGCTTCGTCCTCCCTCCACAATGGAGTTATCCATGGCAACAACTTCCAGGCAACGATCCAGAGACTGGGAAAGCTGCGTTGGGCAAAGAGCACGGGAAGCCAGCTGGATCTGGGTGGAGTAAGGTTATATACATCAAGCGACTTCGCCGGCATACCATTTATGGCGCAGACTCACCGCAAGGGACGAAGTTTTCAAAGAAACTGTGGCGGAATGGCTGTCAGAAAGGCGATGGAACCGACTGAAGCCCAAACATTCAGCGTGCCTGATCGTGGGGATGCTTCTCTGCCAAGACGTGACTGTTGCCAGGTCGGAAGAGGACGCAAGGACGACTGAGGCGGGCGGTGGCATACCTCTGGGTACTGTGGCTCAAACTATGGCTGCGGCGCATGGGGTCGGGCTGGCCACCCAGGGGGTAGAAGATGTTAGTGGCCAGGTTAGTTGCCAGGATGCGAACAGAGCGTACTTTGCAGCGAGCGGTCAAGGAACGAAGATCTTTGCACTAGACTTGAGATTGACCACCTCCCAAAAGGGCAATCTGAAGCTGACGGATCGATCACCAAGGGCTCCATCTGATCGACGTCTGGGGCCAGATGATGATGAGGATGAGGTCGATCCGGAGAGTCTCTCATTGGGCGAATTGGATGATGCTGACTGGGCCAGTATCCTCGACGATGAATACCTAGGTAGATTTGACGTGGGATAGCTGTAGGTGTTACTACTACATGTAATAAAGCAACCTTGGAAGTCAAGAGTCAAGAATATCGTGGCTTACTAATCAGGTGTCAGGGGTCGATCCACTTTCCAGCATCCATGGTGAAAGGACGATTCGATCACAAGTAGGAATCAACCGGCATGGAAGGAAACATCTCAATCAACCAGAAAGCACTTTATGATACTTGTTTTCACGCGCATGCTGCCATTAATAAGCTTCTGTTGTCCATCGATAAGACTTTGCAGCAATTGTGGCTCACAAGAGCAGGAGATTGGATTTCACACCGACGCGTTCTCCTCGTCCCTCCTACAACGGCCGGATTCGAAATTAACGTCGGTGGGGGTATTGAGGACTGCTGATTGGCCTCTTTGGCAACTAATTGCACTAGCCACATTACAATACGGTATAAGCGGTACCTATAGCCCAATAACTATTGGTCATTTTTGCGCCAAGCGGTGTAAAATACGTGAAATATGCTATTAGGCTGTAAAAGATGCGACGCTAGTCTATTTCTAGTAACAGCCCCTCCGACGTTCTTTTCGAATCCGGCCATTGTAGATCGGAGGACTACCACAATTGTGTTGATGCCAGTGTGTACAAGTCTGGTCTGTCTGCATCTCTTCACCGCACCTGCTGCTTTGTCTGGTCTTTGTTCTGTCCTTCAACTTGTGCCTTGGTCTGTCCGCTTCCCTGTCTCTGCTTCTTTTCACTCCCAAAGCACTGCAGCCAACAACTCGCATCACGTACCCAACAAACACCAGAATCAATAGCCAGGAAACAAGCTTCCACTTTCGGAATTCTGTAATCTTGTGCGACCGGTCGGCGAAGAGTGTGTTAGCAAGCGGTGTTGGTTTGGATCTTTTCGGCATCCTGACTCTCGATTTGGATCTTTGTGGTCAGGCTAGGTGAGGATGTCGGTATGGTCACAGGATGACAGGGGGACAGGGGTTCTTAGGATGGACAGAGAGGTGATCAGAGTGGTCGCATTCCAAGCTGTCCAGTATCAGAAAAGATGCGGTCCCGCGATATTGAAGACTGAGGGCTTTGGGGGAGTTTTGACCGTCCATGAGGTGTTGGAGCCTATTAAGCTGAAGCAACAATGACAGTGAAGTGACGCAGAAGTGAATTGGTCCTGAGCAGACAAGGCTGATGTCTCTCAGGGGGCCGCCCACGAGGATGTTGTGGGGGGCCTGGCCTGGGACTGACGTAGAATGCTTGCAGAGATACGCTGTCGCCATATCCTATGGATTCCAGTGCCATCTGTAGACAGTAGCGTAGCAGCATAAGAGACATCTGCCCACAGTCCATCTGTCTCTGCCTTGTGGATCCGGGACAGTAGAAGTTCTTGCTCTGGCTGCAGACAGCAAATATTGCGCCTTGTCTCGCTCACTGAGAGGACACAGTGAAGGGGAGAACAAGAGACAGCATTCTATAGTATATGTACCTAGTACCTTGTGTAGTTCGGAGTGAACCTTAAAAAGTGAGACTACAACATACTATTCCGTAAGTATGCCTTTGATCCAATTTAGAACCACAGTTCGGTATACCTGTACTGAGCTGCATGGCACTGTTACCAAGATATTTATCTTGATGCACTGCATCCTTTGAAGAAGAAAGGATGATAAGAGCAAGCAGCAAGCGAATCTCAACTAGCAATTACAGCTGCATCCTTCTATCTATATCCAAACAGATCTAAGCAAACTGAGCGGACAAGGAGTGGAGTGGAGTATATCTTGGAACATTGCTATTAAATAAACCAGAGGACTGACTTCTCTCCTCCTCTGTAATATGTATAGGAGAAACACCAGACGTCCTGAATAGTACCGGTCCACACTTCAAGACAAAATACTGTTCCAACCTAGAAAAAAATCAAAGCTTTGGATTAGAAGGTACACGCTCAAGGAAGAAGGATATCTTACAAGTTGTGTCTCTATTCTTATATCCTCGCACTCTTACACGCTGGACGTAAACACGGGCAAGCTTGACGTTCACAATGGCAACCTTTCTTTACTCAAGCAAAAATGACCTATGCGGATGTCCACCCTGTTAAAGGACGCCCTCCTAACGATGGTTTGCACGAACAAACTGCCATGTTCCCATACGCCAGACTCCAGAACCAGAACAGACACCAGCCACTTAGCACCAGATTCCAAAAGAGAGACACCAGACCTCCGTCCTAATCTGAACCCAACACAATAGTGACAGCACAACGCAAGCCCAAGACCTAGGCCAAACCCAAGCCCAAGAGTCCCAAAGCCTGCTCCTCAAACAGAAAATCTCACCCTTTTCTCCGCCCCATACCCCCTAGACAACCGTCTCGACCCCATCACAGGCAGATCAGAACCTTGCATCTGTTCATCTTCATCTTCGTTTTCGTTTTCGTCAGTAGCAGGGTTGGATCTCCTCTTACCACCACGAGCACCAACACCAGCACCGGCCGACCGACTTGACCGTCTCAGAGATTGTTGGGCACGGATACAGAGGGAGCGACGACGGGGCGGTGTGGGGTTGTATTTTGATGAGGATTCTTGGTTTTGGTCTTCTCCCTCTTCCACCCGGTCTTTGTTTTGTTCTGCTTGGCTCTGTGGTTCGGGATTAGATTGAGTGGCTTCGGGAACTGCTTCGTCTTCCACATCGACTTTCATCTGAGTTTCCATCTCGGTTTCAGCGGCGACTTCAGAAGCAGATTGGGTGGCGTTGGGATTGGCTTCGTCTCTGCGTTCGACTTCCATTTCGGTTTCAGGCGCAGCTCCATGTCGGCTTCAGGCTCAGATTGAGTGGCTTCGGGATGGGCTTCTGCGTCTGATTTGTCTTCGTTCTCCACTTCCATTTCAGCATCATCTTCAGGTTCATGCCCAGATTGAGTAGCGTCCGGATCCGATTCGGTTGCATTAGGATCAACGTTGGCTTTGGTATTGCGGTTGACGTTGGTATTGGGATTGACGTTGGTATTGGGATTGACGTTGGTATTGGGATTGACGTTGGTATTGGGATTGACATTGGTATTGGTGTTGACGTTGTGGTTGTCATTGGGACCGATGTTGGCGTTGAGCTTGGCGGCGGCGGCAGCGAAGGCGGCAGCGATCTCACCAACGTTCTGGCCGCCAGCGACATTGGTGGCAAATAGGTATATGTCCAAGCACTATCCCAGGAAACAAAAACACCACCAGGAACACTGAGAGAAACAGCAGACGGTGGATCATCACCATAAAGAACCAGAATACCGGGAACACCACCAGGGGCAGCACCTGATGCACCAGGAAAACCACTAGGAAAACCACGAGGAACTGTCGCAGCTCCATGAACATCACCAAGAGCAGCCCCTGATGCACCAGGACCGGCACTAGGAACACCACCAGGCAAGGAATTCAAGTTCGAATTCCTATCGCCGCCAAAGTAATTCAAATTGCCGTGGCCATTGTTGATGTTACTGCTGTAGGTATCAACGAAAGGATCTGGCATGGGTGCATTTCGGACAGTGTTGGTGTGGCGACCTAATAGGGGAAAGTCTGGCAATTTGCTGTTGCTGGTAGTGTTGCTGTTGCTGGTATTGTTCGTGTTGTTTGTGGTGTTGGCAGCATTGTTATTATTGTTGATTGGGTCTTGGAACGAAGATTGTGGCTGTCGGCCGATGGTGTTATTGCTGGGGGGGACGTATGTCTGCATGGGAAGTAGATGCCAGTTGTCATTGATCGGCGGGTGCGCGGCGTCAGGGCCAAGCAGGATGTGGGTAGCGCGTTCGTCAATGGGGTCGATCTTGCCGATGTAGGGATTGCTGGGGTCGTATGTTTGGACGGGAAATAGAATCCAGGTGTGGTACACGGCTGACCGGGCACCGGAAACCACGATGTGGGTAGGGCGTACGTTGGAATTGGTGGAGTTGGGTCCGTTGGGGTGGGTGTTTGCGATGCGGTTACGGTTCTGAACTTGGTTGTTATCGTCGTTTATGACGATGGGCTTGTTCGGAACGGAACCAGGACCTTGGGTGCGGATGTGGCCTTGGTTAGGAGCCTGGTTGAGGTTGAGGGCTTGGTTTGGGTTGAGGGCTTGGTTGTGGTTGAAGGCTTGGTTGTATGCTTGGTTAGGAGCGTAACCGAATCCTTGGCTGTGAATCAAACCGTGACCTTGGTTGAAGGCTTGCTTTTGGTGGTAGGCTTGGTTGGGAGCGTAACCGAAGCCTTGATTGTTGTTCAGGCCATACCCAGTGCCGTTGCCATACCCTTGGTTGTCAATCAATCCATATCCCTGATTATACAACTGACTGTTGTTGATGCCGTACCCGTTGCCGCCATATCCATTGCGGTAACTATGATTGTTGTTCAAGCCATATCCCTGGTTGAGACCCTGGTAATTGTTGAACCCCTGATTATTGCAGTTCGGAGGCGCAACTGGAAGGTTGACAATCTCCCGGCGTTGGTATGACCGTGGTTCCGCCTCACTCTGCTGCTATGTCTGACTCAACTGGCTTCTGATCCGCAGCTCTCGCTGACCGAGTAGACCACTAATCGGCGGCCCTATGCCGTCCAGGTGGTCGGTCAAAATATCGAGGATTGATTCATATGTCTATATATTTGTGACATGATTAGCTCTCAGGGTATATAGAACGTGGGCATCAAGACACGAGCAGGGTAGGGTCGGGGTAGAGCAACGACACCTCTGCTTAGCAAGCTAGGGATGTTGGCAGTTCTGAAGCTAGAAAGGACCAATCCTGCCCTGCTTGCATCCAGTTCGAGCAGAAGTGAAACCACAGGGAACATGATATATCAAGAAAAGAAAAAAAGAAGCCAGAACAAAATAAAACAAAACAGGGCCACCTGGCGGCCAAACTTTGTGGCAAGCCGGCTCAGACTCAAACACATTGTACCGTTACAGGTGGTGTGACTTACCTCTCCTCTAGCAATCAAAAAATCCGTCAACGACAACACCAGCTGCGATTGTCTCTGCATCATAACCTCCCATTGCGCCGCGCCGATGCGTTGATGCTGTGGTCGACGACAGATATTGCCATTGACGGTGTAGATAGTTGCAGTATTCGTGTTGCCAGTTGCCAATGCGTTCCCGGTATTGGCCCCAGTGGCGCTTGCAATGCCATTGCCTCGATCATTGGTATCCCTAGTATTGCCCGTGCCCCCCTTGTCGTTCGTGTTAGTATTGGTATTGGTATTATTATTGTTTCGCAACCATAGACCTTGACCATTCATCTGTCTTGCGATCAGGTAATCAGCCTCTAAGTGTCGACGGACTCGTTGTTGTTGAGTCCCAGGCTGAGGTTGAGCTTGGGACTGAGTCTGAGGTGCTTGATCGCGAGCTTGATCTTGATTGCGATTCATGTTGTGGCGTGGCTGTTTGTCTCTTGACAGGTGTCGCGCAGGGCGAAAGCGAGAACCAAACAAACAAATAAACCCCTTTCGTGAACAAATACACAAGATGGGGACTGATATAGGGGAGACAGGACAAAGAAAATAGGTTTTCTAGGTGACAGTAGCAGTGATAACAAACTGAGTCGCGTCTCTAGGAGAGTAACTAGTAATACAGGAGAGGAGTAACGAACAATAGAACAAGAGAGTTAGAAAGGTCGCGGTGTGTGCTGTGGTCTTATGCCATATAAAGATAGAAGCGGGAGAAGAAACAAAAGAAAACAAATCATAGCTAATTCACAGAAAGACAGTGTGCGACGAGAGGCAGTGGGCGTTATTGGCGTTGTAGTGTTAGCGCATAAGTTGTAGTGCGTGGCCAATTACAATCACTTCTTACCTTAATTGAAGTTCACTAAACTGGGAGAATAGTCACTTACTGAACATATGCCTGCCTATCTATTTCCATCCCTCACATATCCGTCACTTTTAGTGATGGTGACGGTAGTGATGATAGTGTATGATCACGCAACCCCTGTACATCTACCTACCTCCCCACCTACCTACCTACTTATAGAAGTGAAGACAATAGCAGTGACGGTAATAGTACTAGTTATGAAAGCTGATGTCTAGTAGTACAATAAAATGATATACCTTACATAGAATGTGAATACCTATAGGTTAAGTCGCAGTATAGTTAGACTTTCAAATACGACGAGGCTGTGGCCCCTTGAAAGCTTGGCACTTTTTGAGTTTCGAGATAGCCTTGTGCACCACTCCTCGACCCACCCACTGGAAGTGACATCAAAGGACAAAATAACGCGGGAACCATTAGTGGCTGGCTGTCTACAGTACCTAGGTAAGGTACTGGTAGCCCTTCTCGTCAAACGCATGTGCGAATCTACTCAGCCACACTCGTTACAATGGCATTGATCGTGGTTTGCGTTTTGCTCGAGGAAGCTTATCCTTTCGTGTACCTATGTTACCAAACACCGCTATGCTGTGAACAACACCGCCGACTTAATCTTCGCCGACAGCATGTCACCACTCCACCAGCTCCTCCCGTCACCCCGAACCACCACCATCTCAAGCCAGATCTGATGTCCCTCAAGCAATCCAGAACCAGATTCTCTCCAGGAAATTCCTCGGCTTCACTTCGGGCCAAGTCCCCTCCAAGCGATCAATCTCCGCCTTCCCACTCCACAAATCCATCTCATTCAACCTGACAAACTTGGTCCTCTTGACCAACTTATACCCGAGGAACAAGGACAAAAAGATCGGAATGTCAATATACGGCGGGACAAAAGTCTTTGCACTAAACTTGCCGGGGAAAAACGCATCAAACCCATTAAAGATGGCGACGACCGTACAAAAGCAAATGGCGAAATACGCCAGGAACGGCTGGAAGGGGGCTCTATACGGCAAAGTCGACCTTGAGATACCGTAATGCTTCAACCCCGCATAGAACCGCAAGTAGGTAACACAAACGCTAGCCCAGACGATGAGGGTGCTGACGGCGGAAATATTGGAGATCCAGAAAAACACCTCGGCCGAACTCGAACTGACGTTCAGATAGACCAACAGGCTCAACGCGGCGGTGGTGGCGACACAAGCATAGGGGACGCCGAAGCGTTCAAATTTCAAAAAGGCCGGCGCTCGACCGTCCAGGGCGGTCGAATACAAGACGCGGGTGGAGGCGTAGAAGAAGGAATTCCCTGCTGACCAAGCCGACGACAAGATGACAGCATTGATGATTGAAGGTAAAGCCGAGATCCCGCCATTGACAATGGCAATCACAAACGGGCTGGCTGCTGCACCCGGAGCGGAGTTGCTGATCGCATTCAACAGGCGAGCATCTTTGGCGGAGACACACATTGTGATCAGGAAAATGGCCAAGACGTAAAAGATGGCGATTCGCCAAAAGACCCGACGCACGGCTTTGGGGATGTTTCGACGCGGGTTTTCCGTCTCGCCTGCGGCCACGACCACCATTTCACTCCCGCCGTAACTGAATGTGGCGGATATAAACACCTTCCAGAATGCCAGGAAGCGTCCTAGTGCCCCGGTCTCGAGGTACGTGAGCATCGGGCCTGGATGGTCCCAGTATCGAAACCCGATGCGGTCGTGGTTCGGCGCCCCTCCTAAGGTGATGATAAACATCAACAGAATCAACCCGACAATAGTGGTCAGCTTGATGGCCCCAAAGACAAACTCTGCTTCGCCGTAGATCCTCACTGGGAAACAGTTGATGAGAACCATGGGTATGAACAAGACGGTAATCCAAACTGCGTTCGGGATGTCGTTGGGCCAGTATCCTATTACCACCGCGGCGGCGGAGATCTCAATCGGCACTCCAATCGCGAATTGGTACCAGTAGTTCCAGCCCAGAGTGAACCCAAGAGCCGGGTCGACGAATCTCGAGGCAAAGACGGGCACGGCGCCAGGAAGGGGCAGGTACGCTGCCATTTCTCCGAGACTATTGATGACGGCAAATAGATTGAAACCGGTGATGAGATATGCTAGAAATGCTGATAACGGTCCTGCTAGACTCAAAGCTTGGCCGCTTCCGACGAACAGACCTGTCCCAATGGCGCCAGACAAAGCGAGGAACTGGACATGTCGAGCTTTCAATCGACGGTCGAGTGTTCCTAGGTGTTGTTGTTCGTGCGCGGCATATTTCAAGTCTTCGACTTCGGCTTGCGCGGCGACCGTGTCTTTAGTCTCGCCGGTCTCAATGTCTTTGGATTCGGTGGCCATGGCAGGCAACACACTGATGTACACCGCACAGTATTACCTGAGCCCAGGCTGGCCTTCCACTCACAAAATACTGTTACAAAGACAGCAACGAGAGATCGAGCTTGATGGCATCCTTGCGGGTAGAAATGAGGAGGCCGGACGGACATGAGCACCCCGCGGGGTGGTTCTTTGTTACATCGGCGGCCGTGGCGAGCGATGTGACAGACCGTCGATCAGTTAGTCGTCCAGGAACGGCAATAAGATTGAGGGATGCCAATGGGTCGGGAGCTGTGGGGGTGGGCCAGCCACACATGGGCGGAAATGCTTCGCTGGGCTTATCACCGATTAACCTCGGTGGTAGCCGCGGATACTCGTTCAAGTTGGAGGCTATTCGTCAAACACCTCATACTTGTTGGTCTTATCGTCGCGGCCATACGTCGATAGTGGTTCATCCTAATCGTAGTGTGTATGTTGCTCTTATCAATAGCCCTTCAAGACCAGACCGGTAGGCAATGGCGACAAGGCGGTCAGCTACTTTACCGCCAAAACACCTGGTCGGTACCGAGCATCCCGGCAGCATGGCAGCTTCGCGCTACCCACTGGGGCACGCTACCTACGATTGAGTGTCAGCATCCACGTTCTCCCACACATCTCCAACTCCAGATTCCGCGCCCGTCTCTGCTTCAGCTTCAGCCTCAGCTTCAGCCTCTTCAGCCAAATGACCAGATGTGCGACTGGCTTCCCTTTTACATGTCTTACACTTGCCAGCCCCGGCACATTCAGGAGTCAAATGAACCCATATCTCTTCTTGCCCCATCTTTTGCAGTTTCTGCCAGTACCGTTTCCTACTTCCCGGCGTCATACGTTTCCAACCTTCATGACGAATTTTCAGTCTTACTGCCATCCACTTCTCATCAGGTCGATGTTCAGTCGGTTGTTCATGAATGACAGGCAGATCCAACAGCTTCTTCTCCTGCGACAGCGTACGTAGAAACGGCTGATCAGGTTGTAATATGTGCTGGGGCATGACGCGTGAAAGAAAATCCAACGAGGCATCGAGGTTCAAGTCGATGGCCCGAACCGGGTCGGCCGTCATTTTCAGGACAAGACTGGCAATATGCGGATAGAGGATGCAAAAGTCCGACTGCGAAATATGGACCGTGCCTCGAACTGTAAGAAGCCATGCTGGCTTTCCGGCGTTCAATGCCTCCTGGGCCACGTTGCGCGCTACATTGAAGTTGTCGGCCCAATACATGAACGCCTCGGAGTTGATGCCGAGCAGTGGCACCTGGATGTGATGACTAGGATTGGCCTGCACCGGCATTCCCCAGATATCATAGACGATGCCCTGAGTGACATAGCGAAACCGGTTCTCCGCTTGCTGCCGAAGCATTTCTACCGTGGTGGTGGCGCCGAATGAATGTCCGACCATTGTCACACCGTCCGTGTAGAAGCGATCTTCCCACAACGACCAGTCAATACCCTGGAGACCTGTCTTGGACGCGCCTATTGCACCTTCATATCGAAGATTGCTCGCCGCGACTTTTGCGCCGTTTCCATTGCAAATGTCGCACATGACCAGATACGCTTCATGGATCTCAGCAAGCCGTAGATCAATCTGTGCACTTCGCAGTTCTTTGTCAACCTCGTGCCCTGGCGTGGTGTCATGGCTGTCGTGTTTGTGAAAGACAAAATCAATGATATCGTACGGTCTGCTTAATTCTTCTGGACGATGTTCAATGCCGCCAGCCTTTTCCCGAGCCGGCCGACTTGCAGCACCATCTTTGGGGTGATTGATAAGAGACCGCGGTCCACTTCCATCTCGATGCTCCAACGCCACTACCACGAAGCCATGGCTTGCAAACTCGCCGCACACCGACGAGTACGCCGTCCTGGTCCCTCCAAGGCCGTGCGAGAACAGGATCAAAGGGAATTTGGGCTTGTTGGGCCCACCTTGCGGAGGGTCGCCTCTAGCACGCGTGGTCTTGCGATGGTGGGTGGCTGTTCGACCATGCTGCGGCCAGTGATCTGCAATTCTCGCGTTTTTGTACGCCGGCAACTTGGTGAACCAAGTGGTAAGAAAAAACCAAAGCAATGTCAAGGTTTCCGGAAGACTGGCGAACTTTCCGTACCCCCGGCTTGTCAAATCCCTTGGCCGACTGAGCCATGTTGGCCGAAATCGCTGTTTCGCAGCAGGCGTTTTGATTTCCACTCCGGAGTTGATATGAGCGGGATAGTAGATAGTCATCAAGATGGTTTCCAGCGCGAGAATGTGAACTCCATGTCGCTTGATGTCGGAGAACGTCTTTGGTTCCCTTGCAGGCACCTCCAGATCAATAGTGCCGACTTCATATGGCCCCGTGTATTTGGGTAATTTGCCATAGAATGGAACTTTGTCTCTGATACTCCTCGGCGGACGGGCTTTGGGCTTTTTGCCTTTCGGCGCATCTGATAATTTTGAATTGGCGTGTTTGGGGTGTCCGAGAACGTTGTCAGGGAATATCGACGACGAGGGCATGATTACGAGAGAGTAAGAAGTTTATCGCTGATTTAGATGAACCGGCTCCCGTTGCATCTGCCAGGACGCCCTGTCGTACCACAGTCGTACGGATGTAGAACGCTCTTTTAACAATCATGCTGGTGGTGTAAGGAAGGATGGTGAGTCCTTGGTCAAGTTGAAGCCATTAACCTTAGGCGGCAGATATGAGACTCGAAGTGAAGCAGTCGAGGTCAACATTTCAGTTGTTGTCCCAAAGTTTCCCGGAGGCTTCGGCCACAACTGACATCATCACGTTTGCTGACAACGCGACAACGCGTTACGCGTGTTGCAGCCTTGGCGTATCTTTAATTTCTTAGCCGTTCCGGCGTGTACTTAGGTTGACAACATTGTATACCTGGTACCCTAATCAATCAAGGAATGAACGTACGCTGCGTTGCGTACATGAGGGTTCTAGTACGAAGGCGAGACGCCCAGTAAGTCTAAGAACATCGCATGACAGGGGCTTCAGAGATGGGAAGATCGAAGCCTTGGAATCACGTAGCATGTCCAAAGCAGTGTGATGACTCGTTTCAAACCTCATCATTTCTCAAGCAACGTATTACCAGCCATAGAGCACATGAATCAGCTCCCCGGACCTGATCCGATCTAGCAAGTCAACCGATGACTGTCCCTATCTTTGGGAAGAGCATAAGTGTGCCGGGCTGTATTTCAGAACCACTCTCTCTGCCGCGGTTAAATGACCCAAACGACAAAGCCCAAGGTTGATATGACTGACATCGCAGTGATCCAACTCGTCCATTGAGTGATTGCAACCACAGGAGCGTGAACGAACTCAGGTCGCCCGAGCGCAAAAGGCTGTAGCAGCCCCCTGTAGGCTGTCACTTTATGTGTGGCTCCGGCTCTCTGGGCTCCCCTCAGAGGTGACCACTGACCAGACAAGGCGTGCGTACTTTGGCATTGTCCCAACAGGCAGTGCTCCTGAATGAGAAATGAGGGGCCCGCAATGGAAGTATTGATATGTAGTATTTCGCGTAGTTCGAGTAGTTGTCCATGGCGGTCTCCTGCGTACTTTGAATAGGGGCCAAGGGGCCACCACCAGCTGCCGGAACAAAGGACCTTTTTATTATTTCGAGTATACGGCGGCTTCACCTGTAGCAAAAGGGTACTTCGTCGCTCACTCGGAGAATAGGCGCCTCTTCCGCAACACCTCCAAATCATATTGTTTGATCCCGGCGGGCTCCTGGGTACTTCAAAAAGGGGCCACGGGGCCACCACCAGCTGCCGGAACAAAAGACCTTTTGATTATTTTCGAGTATACGGCGGTCTCCCGGATATGAATATTCAATGTCGGTGTAGTGGTAGTTGGTGGCCGCCGCGAACGGCTGGACGGGAACAGCAGCATCCGATGCCGCCACTGATTCTGGTTTCCCCTGGCGGGAGTTTGTACCGGATATGATAAGGGAAGGGCGGAGTCCCTATTGTGGTTGACTTCGTGTGATATGATAGGCTTCGATCATCAAGATGGCGACTGGCAACCACTCGATGAGGGGGTTTCGCCTTCTCTGTCACACCGTGCTTATGCATGCATGTTAACTCGGAGACTTGTTGATGAAGTTGTGTCCTGCAGCTACTCAAGACAGCAAGAGATGTAACATAGTTAAAACTCTTAGAGTCATTCTCATTCAGGATATGCCAACCTGTGGTGATGCTGAGCACGGGCAATCTCCGGCGACATGCTCAGACTCTTCCCAGCAATCCCAATTCGATCCAATTGCGCAAGCGATTTAACCATTTCACGTCTTGCCGCTTCGACCGACATTGACATCTGAGGCGACTGTTCCAGGGCTCTTAGAAGCGTTGTTTTCAGACGTCTGTACGCCTCCAAGCCGACTTTACCTTGCATATAGTCTCGGCTGACGGCTTTGTCCACAAGTTGGATAGCGGCAACCAATGAATGTGGATAGGGGTTTATGGCGACGAGGGAAGCCGAGAGGACCGTCGGAAACGAATTTGATGATGATTGCACGCCGGATATGCCACCGGATACACCACTGACACTACTTCGTCGCGGCGGTCCGTGTATCGTGTAGCTATTGTCGAGACCAAAATTGATCGCATCGAGCAGCTCCCGTTCAGCCTCGAGACGAACCTGCGTCAGTTGCGCCAAAAGGTCAGACCGCTCAGCGGCCGCGACACCATCGATCAAGATCAAGAGACCCAGGTTGTGATGCAACATAAGCTGAAACCAATGGAGTTTCCTGGCCTGGTCCATGAACCGGATCCGGGGCTCACATAAATCCAAAAGTGGGCGGAAGGTGGCCTTGAACATTTCCAAAGCTTCCATGCAGGCAGTCCATGCTTCGGCGACTTTCTCCTCTCCGTGGCCTTCTCGTAGCGACTCCTTCAGCACGGCGATCATCTTCCACAGGTACATATTTCCTGCGCCTGCTCCGGCGATGGCCTCGAGAGCCATGTCATCGGTCATCTCGACAACTCCGGTCCGCCAGTCTTCGGTTCGTGTGTAGAACGATCCGAGGCCCATTTTCAGTACCCGCCAGGACGACTCGGACGCGACGCCGTGCAGGCCAGATGTCAGAAATGACCGATAATTCAAAGTCAGGGATGCCGACGTGTCGAAGATCAGGGCGCCCCAGTACGCTCTGCTCTCGGCGGAGAGGAAAATGCGGCTAAAGTTGGATCGGGGTGCTGGACTCGAAAACATGTCCGTTGTTCCGAGTGATACTTTGGTGCCATTGAATTGATGGTTTTGTTGTCTTTCACGTAGTCTCTGGACCTGCTGAAGGGCGGTCTGTACGCATATTTGTCCGGTCAAGCCATCTAGCTCTTCCTCTTCGGAGATGCCAACGGGGATAGGTGTGAGTCCGAACAAAAACAGCGTCAGGACAGAACGGTACGATACTCGATTGATGACCTTGAGCATGTCTGTTCGTGCTCGTCGCCACAGTTCCCGGGTGATGTCGAACTGAACAACACCAGGTGGCAGGGTCAGTGGAACGAGGTGGAGCCACCGAGCTGCGAAACTGTGGATTGCCCGGCGGAGAGACTGCTCTGTCTGGTAATCTTTCTCCTGTCGTGACATCGAACTTGGCCATCCAGAACCCACGTTTCTCGCCTCCCAGTCTTCGGCAAGACAAGCGTCCAATTCGCTGAATAATCGAGTCGGAGGAAGGATGATATCGGAGTCTGGTTCTGAACTGCTCCGATCAGCTTGAACATGGAACAAAATGAATCAAGGCAGAAACACGTACACGAATGGACAGCAGTGCCGTCCCAGCCATAATCCGTACGCATGCTCGAAACAGCTTTCGAAGATCCGGTCGAGCCAGTCACCCACCATGGCTATGGCCTCGTCCAACGGACATGACTTGTAGTCTGCGGGACTGGGATTGGGTATGGAAACAGGTGAGTTAGGGTTATGAGTCGGATTAGGTATTGAGACTGGTGAATCGGACGTTTGGCCCCTGCAATATTTAGGATGAGTACCTAGTACACACAGCAAAACCCCAAAAAGGTAACAGTGACGGTGGTTCACCAACCAATGACATTCAATAGACCTCTTCTCGACCAGCTCCACAGGAGTATCAGAGGCAGACGCACCATGTCCACTAGGTAGACTGTCAGGGGGAGAGAGCGAGAACTGTCCCTGGTTTGTTGGAACTGGTACATGTACCGCTTGGCTGTTTCGACGGGGCCGCGTGGTCGGCCTCTTGACAGTCTTGATCCACTCGAACGTGCATTTTTGTCCCCTTCGAGTACACCTCGAGCAAGACCTCGACTCGTCCGGCTTGTCAGGCTGAAGTCTAATGCGCACAGCGTCACAAGCCAGCCTGGCCTTCCGACATCGATCACAGCTGGAGAACTGTGTTCGACGAGGAGCAGGAGTGGCGTCGACTATTTTGGAAAGATTCATGACGACGGGAAGTCTTAGATGACACTCCTTCCTCGCTATTGCAAGTTGGACTGTATCTTCATAGTCGAGTCGAGCCACCAAGTGTCTGTGTGGAGTTGCCCCAGATTGGCGAGGCTTGTTCGAGGCTCGCTTAGGGACAAATGAGAGCCTTGAGGAGCCGGCGCACAAGCCTGAACGATTCGAGTCGGTACACCGCGTGATAGAAAGGCGTCGCAACCGGCACGACACGCTCAGGAACGATGATCCTGCATCCTGCACAGTATATGCATTCGCGTCGTGAAGCTGAGAGCTTTGTGGAAAGGCTGGAGTCTCCAGACTCCAGTTCAAGTTCGGTTCAAGGACCGGGGAACAGATGCAGTGTTGTTGCGGGGAATTCCCGGAGTTATTCAAGTTAGGCTGTAGACCGAGACCGTCGGCGAACTTTCGTGGAGGAACAGTCAACTCCAGACATGCACCAGATACCTATCTAGCTGCCTTGGAGACCAAGTTCTTGATGCTATGATACGTGGCTGGGTGACTCTTGCGTGCAAAGCACGATGATTCTAGGATTGTTGGGAGGTTCGTGTTGTCTACCAGGCTGAACGCTTCACGTGCTGCTCAGCTGCCTCAGTTCTTTGTGGGCTGAAACTGGTTCGAATGACTAATCAGAGCTTGGCCCTCGCCATTGGCCGGAGGAATGACACCCAAATCATGTCCTCATCTTCAGTCAGATCTTACTGCATATGCTATATACGATATACATGATACATAAAGAGCTCTCTCAAGCATTCCGGTCGGATATAGGTCTCAGATGGACTTCCCAATTCCAGCGTGCCCGCAAGACTGCCAACCCTCCTGACTGAGTTTCAACAGTTCTTCCACGCCCTCGATCGTTGCAATCGTTAGGCTTAACTGACCGACCCGGCCAATTGTCTGGCTTTGGATTAAGGTGGTCAACAGCGCCACTAGGGACAGTCGTCGTCTCCAGAACCTCTCTCATCGTGTCGTTGTCGGCATTTCCAAACGTCCACCACATCCCGAAACGCCCATTCGAATCCTTTGTGGCCACCGCTGCATCTGCGTTGTGGGTGACCCACTTGTCATACGCGGCACAGCGCGAAAGATGATATTCAAAGACCTCACGATCCGAATCAACTCCTCTTTCGGTGGACAGAAATGCTTCTTCTTGGGGCCACAGCGGCCGACAGAACTCGGAGAGGTGATGGAAGAAGATGCCTTTGAAAGTCTGGCCATTCTGGCTGCAGTAGCCACCATGATCACAGACTTCCTCCATCACGCCGCCTCGGCCTAACCCTCGCCATGAGGCATCGGTGTTGGGCCATCCGGTGGCCCGCATGACGTCTTGGACGAGCTTGTGGCCGTCGTCGAGGTAACTTTGTGCGCCCGTGGCCAACCAAAGACCACGGCTCGCAGATAGAATTACACCTTGATTGTATGTATATACCATCGAGTTGAGCTCGTCACATCTGCCGGTACCTGGGTTGATAGTCCCGTTAGGATATCGCCGCCAGCCAGTAATGTGGAACCCGTCCTGATAGAGTCCTGAAGCAGGGTCTCGCATGTGACTCTGCATCAACCATTTGTAGCTTCGGACTGCATTTTGTAGAAACAATGGATCATGAGGTTGCACAGGCCGTGAAGAATCCTGCGCCATGTACGGTGAGGTATTGTTATCCCCAGGGAAGTAGAGATACATTCCAATGCTGGCAGCTGCAAACAATTCATTTGTGATTGCATTTTTGTAAGGGGTGAGATAAGGATTCCAATTCATCCCTCCGCCACATAGGGACTCATCCCATCCGGCTGACGCCAAATCATAGAAGATGCGGGCTCGATGTGCGGCCATGGGGATGATCTGCAATCCATGCCAGCCATCTCCCATTGAAGCACCTCTTCCCGACTCGAGGAAATCCCAATGCTTCAGGGAGTACATCTCGGCAAACTTTAGATTCTCGAGCCAGCCGAGAACCACCCAGAGCATGTCATCGTAAGCTTGATTTCGTAAAGAAAATGCATTTTCGCCAAAATAGAACGCAGAAGTGTGGGCAAAATATCGGTCAATGATATTCTGCCATGTCAGCATATCCGAGCAGGTCGACGACGACGCAGCATCAAGAGACGCCACAATGCTGGCCAGTGTCGCGGATACATGTGTACCAATCACCGCCGCCGTCCAATCGATGGCAGCCGGCCAGGTGCCGGTAAAGATGTCAAAATATGTATCCTGCATGACCTCTAACGCAGACAACGTCTCGCGGAGAACGGTCGGCAGGTTCGATCTCCATGTGCCAGCGGCGTCTCCTTCTCCTGCGTCGGCTAGTAGCCCTTGTTGGTTGGCCGCTTTGGGAGCATTGTAAATATGGCTCTCGTATCCGGGCCGCTCGACCGTCCCAGCCGCTGAGAGCCCGGCCCACGTCAGGGCCAGCTGGAAGAGGGTAAAAAGGCGCATACTGGGTCAAGGACGTGGATAACGCATGTTCGCTCGTCAAAGGCCTCCGGGGCAGTGGGCGAGGGTTGGCGGGGGCGGGGATCGGATATGCGATCGTTAATGTAGAAGTCAAGGAATCATTCCGTCGTGAGAATCGTATCAAACAAAGATACGCTGCGTGCAAGGTGAGCAACAAGTCGATCGAGTGTGTTTGAGGAAGAGATATGGCGGTGGAAGAGGAGGCGGTGACGGGTTGAGGCGATGCAGCGATAGTAGCAGGAAGTGCGGTGCCAGTAACTTCAGCGGGTGGTTAGTACAACCTTGGAATAAATCAAGGCTTCTTAGACCAGGGGCGGCCGCTGGGCCGTCGCGTGCTCATGGAGCATTCGAGTTCGGGCTGCAGGCGGGAACTCCAACTTGAACATGAGCGGGCGAAGCCTCCTTAGCCTGAGAGAGGCGGCTGGGGGAGAACCCTGCAGCCACCGCCAGTATTACCCAGGTACTATTAGTGCATGTGATTGCAGGCAACCTCAGGCTGGGGCCGCAACCTGTTGAGTCCTTGACTCGGAGTCCAGGTTCAATCATGTGCCGAGTACAGTACAGTAGTTGTTAGGTATCGATAAGGCGTTCCACCAGGCTGTCCGTTAAACTCGAACACAAATCCAACTACATTTCCATACTTGACCACGGCCGACTCCTGATATTTTTGCATGTTGGTCAACAGACAAGTACTTGGATTAGAAAGTGCCCTCAGCGTGTATTACTACCGTTGATTGTTGGTGAAGACTAGCTGACCTACTCGACGAGGATAACAACCATACTGACGAACACGCTTCATTTTGATAGCCCACTCCCGGGTTGCCATTGATTATTTTCATGGGTAGGTACAGTACCATCCCGCCGCGAGGAAGGATGCAAGTGTCATGTCCTTGGCATTCCATGCATTCTTCCTCCATGTAAAACCGAAGGACGTCATCTGCCCAACCCAGGCCAACAATGGACGTGAAAGCTCTCGGAAAGCCCATCTGACTCCTCCGCCTGCCAATGAACTTCAGCCCTTCTGCGTCTCTATCGAGATACGTTATCCAATGGAGCCTCGTGCTTGATCTGTTCCCAGATTTCGTCGATAGCTTTCGCAGCTTTGGCACTGAGAGATCCGGTTTCGATCCCCTTGAGAGTCTGGTCAAGTTGCTCAACAGAACTGGCACCAACAATGATAGCGTCGCCGTGCTCAGGCTTAAGGGGCGAATTGTACGTGACCCAGCGATAGGCCAATTCGGCACGAGAGGCGCCCTCCTCTTCCGCGATCTTGGCCCACTTATCGAGAGAATCGAGGAGGGATGGCCGCGCATACATCTGACGGTACATACCCCCGAGAGCATTCTCGCTAAAGCGACCGGCGCCATCACGGACCTGCTGGGCGGTCTTCGTCAGGAACCCACCCGCGAGCGGGCTGTAGGCGTAGAAGGCAATGCCGAGCTTGCGTAGGGTCGGGAACAGTAGCGTCTCGACCTTGCGTGCGACCGGATTATAGTTGCCCTGGTAGACTGTGGGTAGAACCCAACCTTTGGCCTTCGCGATATCGTACGCCTTTTGAACATCCTCGGGCGAGAAGTTGGATAGACCGAATCGCTTGAAAACGCCCGTCTTGTACACCTCGTTGACGCCCTCGAGGGTGTCTTCCAGCGGCGTGCCGGGGTCTGGCGAATGGAGATAGAAGATATCGACCTGCTTGACCCCGAGCTTTTGGATACTTTCCTTGGCCGAGTTGACGATATTGTCTTTGGTCGCCCATCCGTGGCCCGTGAAGCCACCTACCCATTTGGTGTCAATGACGAAACGCTCGCCAGCTTTGAGTTCGCCTAATCGCTGCTCTGAGTTGCCGTACAGTTGGGCTGTGTCGAGCTTCTTCACTCCGTGGGCTTCGAGGGTAGAAAACGCCTTTTTCACATAGTCCTCGTCGACCCAGGGCCCGTAATTCCCTACCGACGCAGCGCCGAAGACGACTTCGATTGGTTGTTGAGACATGGTTGGCTGTTAGTAGGAGAATGAGAGATGATAGGAGAGGGCTGGTCAGATGGTGAACTTGGAGGGGTGATCTATCGAAGGAGATCTAAACGCTGTATTGGTGGTATGAACCGAACTCTCAAATGCACAAGTGTAGAGATCAGGGCGATGTTAGTTACAAAGGTAGCGAAGAGCTGACTTTATATCGTATTCGCCTGGGTACCTACCGGTTAAGTTAGTCGATGCTTACCAGGTAGTAGTGGACGCAGTCGACGCACAGATGCATCACGACTTGTACATTCTGCCTGGAAGACAGTCGAACGGGAGGATGCATTTGTCATTGTGATTTCACGGAGAACTTGTCCTATTTCAACGGGGCCTGGGGCCTCGTCAGACTATATACTTTCTAGGGGTTATACGATAGCGTACGACGCTAGTCGAGACCGAAAGACGGTCCTCGACGTCTTTATAATACTTAGTATATAGAGTATCGATTTTATTATATTCTCCTCTATCTAGACTATCGAATAGCCTTATTCGTCGTTAAAGAACGTTAAGTATCTTTATTAGTCTTATAGCGAAGAATAGAATAGTATTTCTATATTCTAAATACTTCGTTTCCTAAGTAGTTCTATTATTAGAATAAGTATCTATAGTATCTATATCTTCGATATCGATCGAGATATATAGAGCGAGTATATATCTCTTATCTTTAGCTATAGAAGTAGTATATACGCTCGAAATAGTAAAGCTAAATAAATCGAGAGTAAATTAAGATCATTAAGATAGTAAGTAAAGAGAGCTTATACGCGTAATAGTACTCGCCGTTACTCTTTAAAGCTAATTTAGGATTAATCCGGCGAGATTTTAAGAAGTATAAATAGACGTCTCTTACTTCTCTTCTTCTTACTTTCTTTTATACCTCTTTCTAGTTATTTATACTTCTAAGCCCTAAGTCTTTTATTAATTAAAGCTAAATATTCTATAACTACTATTATAGTTATTATATTATCTAGATAAGTTAGAACGCCGACTAGACTATAAGTTCTAAATACTTAATACTATTAACGAGTTAAAGAGATTATTAAAGATCTACTAGTAACTAAGACGGCGAAGATAGCTTCTTTCGTAAGTATATCGTACTATATCGAAAGATATAGTTACTAATTCGTTTCTAGATCGATAATAATATTTATAGCGTTAAGTCTAGCGATATAGTAATTAATTCTATTATCTAGACGAAATAGTACTAGAAGTAGTCCTTTTTCCCTAATAATAGCTTATCGATTTAGCTATATAGTCGTATTTCTCGGAAACCCGTCGAATTTTATAGTTAGAGAGATATTACTAATATATACGTTAGGAATACCCTTATAGAGTATATAATAAATATCGTAAATAATCTACGTTACGAAATATATCTTTATATAGTTAAACTAGACTTATATCGAGAGTTAATATTCCTAGAGTACGTTTTAATATCTATCTTTAATACGCCTATTTCTACGAATTTAATATATCTTTTCGACGGAAAATATATAATTTATACTATTCGCGAAGTCGATTATTTTTTATTTAGTAATCGAGATATAAGTAGCGAAGCTTCTAGTCGTCGTCGATCTACTACGTTAATATTAATATCTATTTAAGCGCGTAGTACTAAGAAATATCGTACTCGATTTCCTAAAATATAGAAAGAAGATCTAATAGAAGATATAAGAGAGGTACGTTTTAGTAAGAGAATAAGTAGTCTATATATAGCTAACGAGGCTAAAGAGACGAGTAGTCGTATAGCTATTGAGATTAAAGATCTAGAGAATAGATTCGACTTCGTATTATCGCTATAAACGGATATAGAAGATCGACGTTAAAAGATATTAATCGCTATCTAGAAGATAACGTAATAGACTTTAGATCTATATTATACGCCGAAAACTATTAAAGTTATTCGTAGAATTGATAAATCTAATATACGTATAGAGTAATATTCTCTACTAACGTCGACTTAATAAAGTCGTCGTTCTATAATATCTATATCTTTAGTAAGAATAGAAGTTATCGAGACTAGTCTAGAGTCGGAAGAATATAACTATATAGCTAATAAACTACTATTAAGGTATCGTTAGTATACTATCGATTCTTCTCCTAAGCTATTATTATAGATACGAAGTTCGCCTAGATATATATTAGAAATACATCGTTATACTAAAGAGACTATATAATATATATCTACGTCTTCTAAGCTAGTATACGACTCTAAACGTAGTTAGATTATAACGTAGTAATAATTCGTACTAGTCTCGTCTTTTATAGATTTATTAATATAGTCTATATAAGGCTATATATCGACTTACCTAATACTAGAATATCTATCTTTCTATTATCTAGCGTACGGATAGTCTACTATTTCTACTTATTCTATATATAATATTCGTCCGCTATCTATCTATATATAGTAACTAGATTCTACTTCTAGTTTAGGCCTTTTAGGGTATTCTTATTATAAAACGACGGCGCCGATAGAAGTACTATTACTAAGATCGACTTCGACGATATTATAGTAAAAAGACCGCGAAGTATTACTATTTTCTTATACTACTATAGTAGTAGACGATACTCTACGAATAGTCTATTTTATAGATAAATCTTCTAGTACGATATAATAAGTAGAGAAGCGCGAGTAAGGTTCTTCTACGTCTATTATATAAGGCGATTTACTATAATTTATTAGTTATTTTTAGGTTTTTTAATATATCTAGAGCGCTTCGTAGGACGTTCTAATAACGTATAGCTAAGAGTCGAGATCTAGTCTATACTCTAGTTTCTATAGATTATCTATAAAGAATACTATTATTATTAGATTATTTAGTCTTATACTATTTTTAGTCTAGAATTAGATCTTAGTAAGCGTTCTTCGATATATCGTTAACGAGAAACTAAAGATCCGACTATATTATAGTTAATATTTTAGACTACTAACGAAGATAATAAATTATCTTATCTTCGCTTCTTATAAGGTTTTAAGTACTCTTAAGAAATAAGATTCTTCTCGAGTATCGAAAGAGTTATTCTAGTAAAACTAGAAAATATCGTAGATATACTTTCTATAGTATCGGCGGATATCGAGAAGAATAAAGTAGATATATTCTAGTCTATAAGGTTCTATAGTCTTATATCCTTAGATTAATTTAGTCTATTAACGGAGTATAATTTCTTCTTACTTAAGATAGCTTTAGTTAACTTATTATAGCTATTCTCTATATAATTTATATAGAATAGGTCTATTATATTATCTATATACCCTACGATATTAGTAGGATAGATCTCGATATCTATCGATATAGATTCGAGTAGCTTAATATAAAATAGAATAGAGATATTTTATATAACGGCGTCTTAGTACGGTCCGATAGAATTACTCTTATTTCTTAAGATCTCTTATCTATTCTAAATATAGTTTTCTATTCTTTTCTAGAGTATCGAAGAGGTTTCGAGAGGACTAAAAGTCCCTTCGTTCCCTATTCTTCGCGTATCGAGAGGATTAGACTATAATAGTCTATTACTACTTCTCTATTTCTATTTAATCTAGGCGTATAGAGAGCTAATCTCTATTCTAGCTATTCTATTTAATACTCTCGAAGTATTAATATCTTCGTTACTCTTTCTAGCGATAAAATATTATCTATTTAAAGATAGAGTAATCTACTTTAGAGAATTAGAAGCGAAAGCTACTTCGATTATAGTTTATCTCTCGTAGGCTATCGTAGTCTTCTCTATCGATATCGCGCCGTAGAATATTAGTTTCTATTCTCTATTTCGCCGACGTTTATTTACTAGTATTACTTTAGCTCTACAACTCTTCTTTATTTTACTTAAACTATCTTCTAATTATTCTTATAATA